GAGGCTCAAACATACGATGAACGGTTGCAGGAATTGAGTGTGTCTAGTTTGATGAAAAGAAGGACCAGGGGAGACATGATAGCAGTGTTCCGATATCTCAGGGGCTGCCCCAAAGAAGAGGGAGTCAAGCTATTCTCCAAAGCACCTGAAGGCAGGACAAGAAGCAATGGGTGGAAACTAATCGAGATTGCCTTCTGCCACCGATAGCCTCCCACCGGCCAATACGCTCCCACAGAGAGGGACTCCTCACGGTGCCGTCGGTCAAACAATGTCGACTGGCGACCCCCAGGGGGGAGAGCCTTCTCTGTGGGGGCACCTGCCCTCTGGAATGAATTGCCCCCGGAGATACGTATGATCTCCGTACGTACCTACGTACCTTTCGCCGTGCCCTTAAGACTTTACAGGCTGGGCTGGCTTAAATAATGAATTTTAATGGGTGTTTTAGTTTTTTAATATAGGGCCAAATTATTTAATATGTTTTAAATTGTTTTTAAACTTTATGGATATACGTGTTTTATTGTGGCTGTGCACCGCCCTGAGTCCCTCAGGAGAAGGGCGGTATAAAAATTAAAAATAAATAAATAAATAAATAATAAATAAATAAATAAATAAATAAATAAATAAATAAATAAATAACTAAATAAATAAATAAATAAATAAATAAATAAATAAATAAATAAATAATATAATAAAATAATAATAAAGGAGAGAAGCAACCTGGAACTAAGGAGAAATTTCCTGACAGTGAGAACAATTAATCAGTGGAACAGCTTGCCTCCAGAAGTTGCAAATGCTTCAACACTGGCTATCCCTGTGATGGCGAACACGTAGCCATATCAGTGGGCATGTGAACTCATCTCCGGAGCGCATGCGCGCGCCGGCCAGCCGATTTCCGGGCCTTCTGGGCCCACCAGAAGTAGGGAAACAGGCTGTTTCCCTACTTTGTTGGCAGAAGCTGGGACAAGTCACAGGAGCTCACCCCGTTATGCGGCGCTAGGGATTCGAACCGCTGAGCCGCCGACCTTTCGATCGACAAGCTCAGCGTCTTAGCCACGGAGCCACCGCGTCCCTCTTCATCAGACTAGACATACCCAGTTCCTGCGAGATGGTCCAGCTCCCTTGAAGAAGTCGGTGCCTTTCCCGTTTCTCTGCTTTTCCAAAAGAGTTCAGTGGCCTCTCCTTGGCTCCGATGACTAGTTTAAAGATTAATGACACTCCACTTAAATAGCGGGCCGGTTTATTGTTTCTGTGCCCCTCTGGTTTTATATTGCCATTTCAAGAAGGGATGCAAATGTTAAGAAGCCAAGCAAGTTCCTAATCGCAGCTGGCGTCAGATGCCAGGGCTTTAATAGAGGGCTCGGAAAATGCCCGTTTTGCTTGCCAACCGATTCCCCCCTGATACTTCCAAGGAAAAGCTGCTGGAACCTCCCTAAGGCAGGGTAACAAGTCAAAAAACGGCCCGCTGGATTTAATTTATCTTCCCCCGTGCTCTTTTGTTAAATATTTTAGTGCATCCGGCTAGCCAGAGATCGGTCTTTGCTTGAAAATGCACTTAAGAGAGCTTCTTATGCAGAATATGTCCATGCCATCAGCAATAATTCCCCCTCCCCACTTCCCCCCCGCTTCATTTCCAGAACAAGTTTGTTTAGAGGCACGCGGTAGCCAAAATGATGTTTGTCGAAAGCAAACTCTTTCTATAACTACTTTGCGCTCATCGATTACCGTCTCTAATAGCGTGCTGGAGGTTGGATTTATTCTTTCAAGCGTTTACGTATTGTCTCGTAACAAAGCCTTTTGGCATCGGGGGCAATTCCCCGTTTTTTTAAAAAAAATGTGGTTTCATTAAAATTTTGCGCGTTGCAATAACCTGCAAATAAACCCATGTTTAGGGTTCACTGTGTTTTTTTCTGCGGCAAATCCACAAATGGGATTTAGATCAAGGATTTTTTGATTTTGGCAGCTTAGAATATAGAATAACAAGAGTTCGAAGGGACCTTGGAGGTCTTCTAGTCCAATCCCCTGCTTAGGCAGGAAACCCTACACCACTTCAAACAAATGTTTATCCAACATCTTCTTTAAAATTTCCAGTGTTGGAGCATTCCCAATTTCCGGAGGCAAGTTGTTCCACGGATTAATTGTTCTAATTGTTAGGAAATTTCTCCTTACTTCTAAGTTGCTTCTCTCCTTGATTAGTTTCCACCCATTGCTTCTTGTCCTGCCTTCAGGTGCTTTGGAGAATAGTTTGACTCCCTCTTCTTTGTGGCAGCCCCTGAGATATTGGAACACTGCTATCATGTCTCCCCTGGTCCTTCTTTTCATTAAATTAGACATACCCAGTTCCTGTATACATTCTTCATATGTTTTAGCCTCCAGTCCCCTAATCCTCTTTGTGGCTCTTCTCTGCACTCTTTCTAGAGTCTCAACAGTCCCATCTTAGGACTTCAACTCCCAGAATTCCCCTGCCACAGGTTGACGTCCACCTGTCTTAAAGTGTCCAAGATTGAGAAAACACCAATTTAGATACTCAAAACTCAGCTGTGGGAATATATTTCAGATAGCTTGTGTGTCCCAAATTCTCCTTTACCGATTTGAAAAAAATCTTCCGTTTCACCGTCATTCCTAATGCTTCTACTCCTTTCCCAGGTGAGCAGATATTGCTGGATTCTCCCAGAAATATCTTAAACATTTGGTGAAATATTGCTCAATTGGCTGCGGAGTCCATTTTTTCCTGAATTCAGGAATAAGGCAATCTTTGTTAATAGACCAGCTGAATTGTATTAACGTGGCCAGTTTGAGGATTAGATGTTGAGGTAGGGTTTGTTCTTCGGATTGTTCTCCTTCTATTTTGTGCGCAGCTTTTGTTCATTTCCCCCCGGGTTGATTCAGGCCTCGTCCCAAGAGCACCCAAAAATAATAAAATAAATTATCGCCAGCGTTCAGTGCCAGCATGCTCATTGGAGCGACAATGACCCAGATACGGTTTCCCCACTGTGACGGATGCTGCTGGAGAGAACTTTGAACGGAGGCCAGAAATTAAAATAACGGTGCAGAAGGAACCGGGGTGGGCTTCGTCGTTTGTCATTGGTGTGCGCGGACCATAAGAAACGCTCCCTGAAGACGGCAGAAAGAGAGCATCTGTTTAAACGAGGCAGGGAGGAAAACCAGCATCTTGGTTTGAAGGGGATGTGGGCGGAAGGAAGTGATCTTCAAATGTAGAGAGATCACATATTGGGCTCAGCAGGTTGCAAGGGTTGCAGTAGAAAAGCCATCTGTCCAGCAAGCCCAAATTTGGGAACATCTGGCAGAAGACCAGATCCATCTCAGTTCTTCTCCGTTGCGTCACTTCATGGAATTCAGCACCTGCATGGAAAGAGACAGTCGGGTTGCTTCAGATGTTGTACCCACCAGAATGTTAAGGTTGCCTGAAACGAGCTGCCTCAAAGGCCACCATGGGGTGAGATCTCCATTTCCTCCAAAAGAGATGTCCGCCTTCTTCCTCTTTGTCTCAGTTGGCTTCCTCCATTGTGATCAGGGTCTCCAGCTTTGGAGAGCTGGTGGACATATTTGGAGGAGCTTCAAATATTCGGTTGATGTTCATCACAAAAAAAAGGGCAGGGGTGGCCAACTGATCTGAAGGTGCCCTGTCTTCTCTTGTCATCTCAAACTTGGGGTTGTTCTTCTGCAAAGCAGGATAGCGGTCCCACAGGTGCCTTTCAAAAGGCACCAAGGAAGTCCAGTTGCCTTTTGAAAAGCACCTGTCAGGGTTCCAATGGATGCCCTAATTAATTCATGAGCCTCGAGCCAAGTTTCAAAAGAAATCCAGTTATTTATTAGGAGCAACATGTCGGCACATACCCAAGTGGAGTCAGCTCTGCCCCACGTAATTTATGTCCCAACTATGGCCCTGTTTCCCCCCCTCCTCCCAGGGTGTGTCATAAATCACATTCTCCGACAGAGCACTTTCGAGGGCTATAGAGAACACACCTCTCCAGTTGGCTCTGGTAATCTAGGCTTCGGCCTTGAGAAAGGTATGTGTGGAATGTGCTTCTGGTTGCTGCCGTGTTGCTCCATCAGTTTCCCCCCCTCCTGCCAATGGCAACTCAAGAACAGGCCAGGAATGCTTTATGAGTTGACAGCACCTTTGGGACAACCATGACTTGGGTGATTGAGAAGCTCCATAAATGGACAGGGTAGATGTTTTTCCCCACCCATGATTCTTTGTTGTTTTTTGGAGAGGAAATATATAGAAGGACAGATCTACTTTTGGACGTAAGATTGAGGTTGGAGCTGACAGCTTGCAGTATTCCAGCATTCTGTTTATTTTTACTTAAGAAATTCATGTTTCAGGGAGTTGACAAGAGGCTAAAAGAAGTATCTGTGGACTCCATCTTTGAACGCAAGACTTGCTTAGAAACAGAGAGTCAGAGAATGACTCAGAAGCCCAGGTTGGGCACACCTCAACCCCAAAGGTGTAGTCGGTGGATCCAAAATTGCTGAAAGGGAGACGGCGTGCTTCCTTGGAATTTCTAAAGCTACGCCCACAGTTGGTTTCCCAGTTGTTTATAACGACGTTTGGGTTGTATTGCGACACTGCTGTGGGTTGGCCAAGTTCCTTGATGGGCTACTCTGCAAAGGAAGGGATCGAATGATGCAACGGTGAGGAGCAGAGTTATTATGAAGTGAGGTCACTGGAAGACAAGGAGTTGCCCGAGTCTGTCTCAGCATAACTGGTGGAGACGTTTGGACGGGCTCGTCTTTTCCAAGGCAGACCGTGGATATATTTAACCCAGGAGTGTCAGGCTGAGCTTTCCTTGGGCTCTGCTGCCCAGCCTTGAAGCAGGCTTTGAACCGGCTACTAAGAACGCCGTGTCAACCCTGAAGCTGGCCTAGCTGAAGCCATCTTGGAGCGTCGGTGTTGCCACACTGGAGCTGAGGGATAGGGAGGGAGGGATTAGCGATAGCTGCGGTTGTGTAGTCAAAACAAAATACTTCCTCTTGGGAATCAAGGACGTTGTTACACCTGGCTGGAGAAAGCTGGAGTGATGTCACCAGACCAGTGAACTCTGCCTTGATTGGGCCATGTGACTGATTGGGATTGAGAGAAGAAAAAAAACTTCCACTTTTAATGAGGTGAAAACTGAGGGACGTTTCAGAGTCGGTTTTCACCCGATCTGCGCCAATATGATATTTCCAATAAAGCTATTCTTCGAGGAATAATCCACCTGCCTCGGGAGTTTTTGCTCGCAATGGATGTATTACTTGGAATCTGACACGCCGATCTGCAGGTATTGCAGCAATTAAAAAGAGAGCCAGGAATTACAACGAGGAGGAACTACGCACACCGAGTGGTTAATTGTTGCAAAGAGCAGGGACCAGACGCACGAGACGGGCCAAAGTCCAGCCAGAGGAAATAGGAGAGAAGCAAAACAACAATGCCAGGCCGGGAGGGAGAAAAGCAGAGTTCAAGACTGGCCCCGATGCGGTGAAAAACGGTGAAAGATGTCGGCCAGTTTTGAGACTGCTGTCTCTGGAGCTTCTCTTTAGCCGGAAGGCTACTCTCAAGTGGCCTGACTTCATTGTGGACTAGACGAAGAATTTGTTGTGAGAATGGAAAAAAAAAACTTCCTTCGGGCAGCTCTGAATCAAAGGTGTTTTCTCAAATAGGTTCAGAAGCAGAGTCCTAAAACTCCTTCTGTACTTGCCTTCTTTTCCGTTGAAAAAAAAAATAGGCCGGTTGAGCAGGCTTGGAGTAGTCAGACAGGTCCACCTTGCTGGCAAAGCCAAGCCGCAGCTTCAAAGCTTTTGATCTCTGAAATAAATTGGAAGGACCTACCTGTCGTGAGGTAGAGGCTGCCCTGGGTGAAGAAGAGGCCGCTTGGTGCCTGGAGCATCCAGAACCTTCAACGGAGGTATGGGTTGAACTCGAGAAGGTCAACAGCTGGGGGCTTTCCTACTGTGAAATTGCGTAAAACGGCCACCGTGCGTGGTTGCTACCCTTTGGTAGAAAGCTTCTAAGGCTGCTTTTTGTATGTATGTTTATTCTTTTAATTTGTCAGATGTTTATTTTATTTTATTTTATTTTATTTTCAATTTATATACCGCCCTTCTCCCTGAGGACTCAGGGCGGTGTACAGCCAGAATTAAGAACATGAAATACAAATATTAAAAAACAATTAAAATATATATAAATTTGGCCCAAAAATTAAAAATCACAAACCAATTAAAACATTTAAAAATTTGTTCTTAAGCCAGCCCGGCTTGCTGAAAAAATGTTGTTTGTAGGGAGGGAGATAGATAGAGGAGGGATGGATGGATGGATGGATGGATGATGGATAGATGATAGATATAGAGATGATGATATAGATACGACAGAAAAATTCAATATAAATAAGGTTAGGGTTAGGGTGATAATTATATGCTGTATACATATTAGCATATATAAGGGTAAAAAACTAGATATACATTGGTGCAGAGCGGCTGCAAAGCGAAAATTGTAAGGTAAAATGAAGAAAATTGTATAATAAAAATATTTTTAAAAAGATAGATATAGAATGATGATAGGTTAGTTAGGTAGGTGGTAGGTAGGTAGGTAGGTAGGTAGATGATAGATAGATAGATGGATGAATAGATATAGAGATGATAGGTAGATACAGAGATGATAGGTAGGGAGGTAGTACTGTAGATGTAGAGATGATAGGGAGGTAGATAGATGGATAGATATAGAGATGATTGGTAGATACAGAGATGATAGGTAGGTAGGTAGGTACTGTAGATGTAGAGATGATAGGTAGGTAGATAGATGGATGAATAGATATAGAGATGATAGGTAGATACAGAGATGATAGGTAGGCAGGTAGGTACTGTAGATGTAGAGATGATAGGTAGGTAGATAGATATAGAGAGATAGGTAGATACAGAGATGATAGGTAGGTAGGTACTGTAGATGTAGAGATGATAGGTAGATAGATAGATGGATGAATAGATATAGAGATGATAGGTAGATACAGAGATGATAGGTAGGTAGGTAGGTACTGTAGATGTAGAGATGGTAGGTAGATAGATGGATAGATATAGAGATATAGGTAGATACAGAGATGATAGATAGGTAGGTAGGTACTGTAGATGTAGAGATGATAGGTAGATACAGAGATGATAGGTAGATAGGTACTGTAGATGTAGATGATAGTAGGTAGAGGTAGATAGATGGATGAATAGATATAGAGATGATAGGTAGATACAGAGATGGTAGGTAGGTAGGTACTGTAGATGTAGAGATGATAGGTAGGTAGATAGATAGATGGATGAATAGATATAGAGATGATAGGTAGATACAGAGATGATAGGTAGATAGGTACTGTAGATGTAGAGATGATAGGTAGGTAGAGGTAGATAGATGGATGAATAGATATAGAGATGATAGGTAGATACAGAGATGATAGTAGATAGGTAGATACTGTAGATGTAACAGTATGATGATAGGTTGGTAGGTAGGTAAGTAACAGACAGACAGACAGACAGACAGATAGATAGATAGATAAATATAGATAATAGACAGACAGACATAGAGATAAATAGCAATAGCACTCAAATTTATATGCTGCTTCACAGTGCTTTTACAGCCCTCTCTATGCGGTTTACAGAGTCAGCCTCTTGCCCTCCACAATCTGGGTCCTCGTTTTACCGACCTCAGAAGGATGGAAAGCTGAGTCAACCTTGAGCTGGTCAGGATCGAACTGCTGGCAGTGGGCAGAGTTACCTTGCAATACTGCATTTTAATCACTGTGCCACCATGGCTCTTAGATAGATATAGATGGGGGAGAGAGAGAGAGAGAGAGAAAGAATAGACAGACAGATATAGAGAGAAATAGCAATAGCACTTAAGACTTACATACCGCTTCACAGTGCTTTGTAGCCCTCTCTAAGCAGTTTACAAAATCAGCCTCTTGCCCCCAACCATCTGGGTCCTCATTTTACCCACCTCGGAAGGATGGAAGGCCGAGTCCATCCTTGAATGTTTACGTTTTGGAACTTTATATTGAAAAATGTGCCTTTCACTAAATAAAAGAGTAGGATCTAATTTAACACGTTCATTTAACTTTTCTGGATAGTTTAAAAAAAGAGAGAGAGAGAGAGGAATCCACACAGGTGTACGTGGACAGGAGTTAGCACATCATGTTCAAACATGAGCCAACCCCTTGTACAAGATGTCTCCATTGGAACAGATTGTGAAGGGATTGCGATGTTTATGGCTTTCTTCCAGTCTCTCTTTTTTAAAAAAATTTTTTTATTGAAAATTATTAAAAAATACAAAAGAAAAATATAGCAATATAGATAGGATTGCAGAGAGTAACTCTGTATATACACATATATAATATACATATATATATATACACATATAATATATGTATTATATATATATGTATATATAATACATATATAGTTTAGAACATCAGCTTTCACCTGATAATAGCACAAACCTCCATTGAGGCAAAATCATCAAAATTGAAGGTGTGTCCAGAAAAAAGAATTCCCAACTACCACACAATATTCCTATAAATATTTACCCACAATCATATTGAGATTCTTATTTATTTATTTATTTATTTAATTTTGATTTATATGCCGCCCTTCTTCAGAGACTCAGGGCGGCTTACAATGTGTTAAGCAATAGCCTTCATACTTTCGTATATTTTATACAAAGTCAGTTTATTGCCCCCATAATCTGGGTCCTCATTTTACCTACTGTAGAAAGGATGGAAGGCTGAGTCAGGCAGCAGCCAAAGACAGATGCACGTTCCATGCTTATCTCTCTCAAGGCTGTATCCCAGAGTTACCTAGAGCAGCCAGAGGGGAGTGACACACCCTGGGGGGGGGGGGGGAAAAGGGATAAAAATTGGGGGGAAAATTATGTAGGGTCAGAGCTGGCTTCACTTGGGAACGTGCCGACATGAAGCTCCTAATAAATAACTGGATTTCTTTTGAAGCTTGGCTCGAGGCTCGTGATTTAATCGAGGCTCATGATTTAATTAGGGCATCCGTGGGAACTCTGACACACACGTTGTAATGGATTTATAGATATGCGATGACGCGATTGCCAAGAGAGTAGCTCCGTGCACGCAAGTTTTCCATAAACATTAGAGAAATGCTTCAGGCATTGAATGAAAGGCCTTCCAGTCTCCCACCCTTCGACATAAATGCATAGGAGATGAAGACTACGATTAAGAAAGGACATAAGGTATCACTTATAAGGTATCACTATACCATCCAAATTGCTGGACGGCGCGGCAATAACCGAACTCCAAAATCAGCATCAGAATTAACAGGATTTCTCAGGGAGAACGTTATTTTTTATTTTCATTTTATTATTTTGCTCTTTTTATGGGTTGTTTTTTTTTTTTTTTTTGTCTTCTGCAAACTGGCCAGAGTCTTTACAACTGTTAGAAATGAATGTTACACCGACAGTACTTCAAGGTCAGACAAAATCGGTAGAATATCCTTCTTCTCCCCCTTTCTGAAAAGTTTAAATAATGCAATAGGACCCTAAAACTCTGTAGTCCTCCAGTTCATGATTGTCCCAAAGGTGCTTTTTCAGAAGTCAGAAGACTTCCTTGTTTTTTCCTTTTGAAGACGTTTCGCTTCTCATCCAAGAAGCTTCTTCAGCTCTGACAGGATAGTGGGGAATGGAAGGATTTATATTCCTTGCAGATAGCTGGTCCTTTGTATCCTTCTAGAGCAGGGGTCTGCAACCTTAAACACTCAAAGAGCCATTTGGACCCATTTTTCCCACAGAAAAGAAAACACCGGGAGCCACAAAAGCCTTCCCTTGCCTGACTATTTCTTGAGCGGCCACAAAACTAGCATCTGTAGTTGAATTCAACATTCTGTTTTCTTCTGAAACTTTTCTTTTCTTGGATTTATCCATGATTGGCTTACCGGGGGTTGAAAAGCTCCATAAATTGCATCCCGGCGGGTGTCGCACATTGGCGGTTGTGACGCATATTTTGAGTGACGGAGCCGCAGCAGAGGGGTGAAAGAGCCACATGCGGCTCCAGAGCCACAGGTTGCTGACCCCTGTTCTAGAGGGTCGTTGAGGCCATTTGGAGATCCATCTGTGTCCTCAGGGTCACCTGAGTAGTGCAAATGGTTCCTGTAGTCTGCAAATTTTCCTCTGGAAATCCATTCCTACAGACTTTTAGCTACACAATATGGGATGAACACCCTTTGAATGTGATGGGAGTAGGAAGGGATTTCTAGAGGAGCCTAGTTGTTGGATTTTTGTCACATTTGCAAGTTTTTGCTTAGAAATAACTTCCAAGTAATCCAAGAGTGGGAGCTCATTTTCTGTCAGTTTTAGAATTGTCTTATCTCTCTTTTTTGGAGGGTTGAGACATTTTGCAGGACTTTTAGGGAAGTTTAAGGAGTGCCTGAGGTACCTAAAAAGCTTTAGGTTCCCATCCGGGCTTTTAACCTTCCCCGCCACCCCCAAATGTTGGCGGGTGCATGCGGCCATGGACCAGTTCAGTCTTCACCTTGGAAATCAAATCCGAAATGAGGTTGGATGTAAGAGCTTGCAAAGATTATCTTGTGGGTTTCCTCGTGCAAAATTAATGTGTTCCTGGTGGTTGACCCTCAAAATTGGCCAAGTGTCTTAAGATGGACCTTAAATATTTTTATATTTATACCTAGATGGAACAGCCAAGAAGCAGATGCAGACAGAAATAAAGATCCAAGAGAGGAATTTGGGAGGCAAGTCAAAAAAAAAAGCATAGCAATTAAAGTATTGAAGCGGGCAAGAGACGACGGATAGATCATTTCTCTTTTTTGTTGCTGTTCTGATTTGTTTTTGTTTTTCTCTCCTTTTCTCTTTTTTTTTTAGGAAGGTGACATGACTAGAAGTTAGGTAGGATAGAAAGAAAAAGTCCTTTTAATAAAGGGTGACATGATTAAAAGTTAGAATAAGAGATAGAAATAAGAGAAGGGGGCATTTTAGTGTATACACTTTTATATAATAAAATAAAAGTAATAATAAGAGAAAACATGCAATAATTGAACAATGACAGATTGCAACTTTACATAAATGTGTATTGGTTTAAGTCCTGGATATCTACAAGACCGTCTTCTGCCGTCGAGAGCCTCCCACCGGCCAGTACGCTCCCACAGAGAAGGGCTCCTCGGGGTGCCGTCGGTCAAACAATGTTGACTGGCGGCCCCCAGGGGGAGAGCTTTCTCTGTGGGAGCACCTGCCCTCTGGAACGAGCTCCCCCCGGAGATACGGACGATCCCGGACTTACGAACTCTTCGCCAGGCCCTAAAGACTTTTCTTATTTCATCAAGCCGGGATGGCCTAATTTTTAAATTTTTTAAATTGTTTAATTTTAATCTGAATTTTAATGGGGTATTTAAACTGTTGGGCCAAATTATTTAATTTATTTTAAATTGCTTTTAAATTTTGTATTTTGTATTTTTACCTTTGGCTGTTCACCGCCCTGAGTCCTTCGGGAGAAGGGCAGTATATTAAATAAATAAATAAATAAATAAATAAATAAATAAATAAATAAATAAATAAATAAATAAATAAATAAATAAATAAATAATAAATAATAAAATTAGAAATATATAAGTTGATTGAATGTAATAACTATAACTAATTCTACTAGTTTTTTTTTTTTTTTTGTATTAGAATGTATGACACCCAGGTGCCACACAATTCACACATCGATTTGATATGTTTGTAAAAAATAAAAAAAAACTTTTTAAAAAAAGATGGACCTTAAATGTTTCTTCTTTATGCAGTGTGGGGAGTCTCCTGATTTTAGGTGGTGAGGTAGAAGAGGAACCCGATGAAAGTTTCAAAGGAGCTGGAGGGAAGACAGTTGGGGCCGAAGAGCTACTGAAGGTCAGCCCTTTGGGGCAGCAGTCACCAACTGGTGGTCCGTGGATCACTGGTGGTCCGCGAGAAAATTTTGGTGGTCCGCAGAAAAATTATTTGCATTTTTCCTATTGCAGTAAATCAGGGGTCCTCAAACTACGGCCCCTGGGACAGATACAAGCAATGAATGTTTGTGTTGCTGCAGAGAGTCTCCCCCTTCGGGGTCTTTTTGTGTGGGTCAGAGGGGGGCAGAAATTCCGACTTGGGGTCTGCTTCGGCCTCCTGGTGTGGGGCTTTGGGCGAAGGCTGGAGGGAAGCGCCGCTGATGGCGAAGAGCTGGAGGGCCTCGTTCCAGTGGGACTGCCTCATGGCCTGGAACTGACTGACCATCTCAGCCCGCTGAGCCTCCAGGCGCCAGTACCTGGCCTTGCACTCTCATAGGTCTTCCCTCTGCTTGGAAAGCCTATGCTCCTAGTCCTCAGTGAGGTGCTTCTGCTGAGCCTCCTTCTCGGCCAGATCCAATTTGAACTGAGCTTTTTTTGCCAACTCATTCTTGTGATGGCTGCTTAGCTCCAGCAACTGCTTCCTGTTGGGGCCTTAAAGAGCCCTGGCGGGGAGGCGAGGAGTAGCTGGGAGGGGAGGGGCAAGTAGAGTCTGGCAAGGTGCCCCTCAACATGAGTGACATTGAGTTGGCCACGCCCACCCAGTCACATGACCACCTGGCCACGGCCACCCAGCCGGTTGTTAGGCAGCTTATATTAGCGTCCGCGGGATTTAAAATTACGGATTTAGTGGTCCCTCAGGCCCGAAAGGTTGGTGACCCCTGCTTTTGGGGGACATTTCTGCCTTCCGCAGAAAATGCGCATCTCCCTTCTCCTGGAAGAACCGCAGCCATCTCCCATGGAAACTGGTTTCTGATTTCTTCCGCTTCTGAATTATCTCCCTTGTTCTCTCTGGGCTTTGCAGGTGCCTGGTGGAACCTGACTCCAGGAACGCCACACCTGAGCTTGGGGGAAAGACTCGGAGGCTTATGTGGAGCTGCTGGCCGAAGTCTCAGTGCCTAGCCAAGATACCCAGGAGGAGGGAAAAGGAGAAAGGCGAAGAGCACCAGAGGTGAAACCTGCTGTAGCCATGGTAGGTCCTGCTGGCTGGTAAAACATTGGCCTGGAGCACGGAGGAACTTCTTCCCGGCCTAGTAAACCAGCTTGATAAACCAGCCAGCCAATTGCGTTAAAGGCTTGTCCGGCTCTTAAGCTGTGGGGGGAAAAAAAACCCAAACAGACCTTGATTTATAGCAGGGACGCTGTAGGAAAAAATCCCACAGTGTGGAGGCTGCCGTGGCATGAATTATTAAGGGGCCAGAGCAGAAGGATGGGCATAAATAACCTTTCCTAATAAAAGTGACATTTGCGAGTGGTAACCTTGAACTCGGAAGGTCCGCGGGGAGGGGTTATCCTCTTCCCTGGGGGTTCGCCACGGCTGTGGTTTGAAGAGATTTTTTTGGGTTTTTTTTCCTTTCCCCAGCCAGATGGTAGCGATATGGCATTTTAAAAAAGCACCTTTCCCAGGGCAGTGGGATGTGGGGGGGGGGGGGGAGAGAGCTCATAGATAGATAGATAGATAGATAGATAGATAGATAGATAGATAGATATTATCTAGAGAGAGAGAGAGAGAGAGACATCTAGATAGAGAGAGAGAGAAAGAGATATTTAGAGAGAGAGAGAGATAGACATCTAGATAGAGAGAGAGATATCTAGAGAGAGAGAAAGATAGATATTATCTAGAAAGAAAGAAAGATAGATATTATCTAGATAGAGAGAGAAAGATAGATATTATCTAGAGAGAGAAAGAAAGATAGATATTATCTAGAGAGAGAGATAGATATTATCTAAGAGAGAGAGAAAGATAGATATTATCTAGAGAGAGATATATTATCTAGATAGAGAAAGAGATATTATCTAGATAGAGAGAGAGATAACATCTAGAGAGAGAAAGATAGAAAGAGAGAGATTAGATAGAGAAAGATAGATATTATCTAGATAGAGATAGATAGATAGATGATAGATAGATAGATAGATAGATAGATAGATAGATAGATAGATAGATAGATATTATCTAGATAGATAGAGAGAGAATGATAGATAGATAGATGGATGATAGATAGATAGATATTATCTAGATAGATAGAGAGAGAATGATAGATAGATGGATGATAGATAGATAGATATTATCTAGATAGATAGAGAAAAATAGATAGATAGACAGACAGACGTGTGTGTGTGCGTGTGTGTGTGTGTGTGTGTATCAGAGGTGGGTTTCAGCAGGTTCTGACCAGTTCTGGAGAACCGGTAGTGGAAATTTTGAGTAGTTCGGAGAACCGGTAGTAAAAATTCTGACTGGCCCCATCTATTCTCTGCCTCCCAAGTCCCAGCTGATGGGGACGAAATGGGGATTTTGAAGTGTCCTTTCCCTGCCACACCCACCAAGCCACGCCCACAGAACCGGTAGTAAAAAAATTTGAATCCCACCACTCACTCTCTCTCTCTCTCTCTGTGTACGTATGTATGTATATGTATAGCTTTGAAGGCACCATTGATTCAGTCCTTGATTTGGTCAAACTGGTTTTTCCAGATGTTATCCCTTGGGGTGGGAGGAAAGAGACTTGCCCACCAGTTCTAGTCATCCAAACCCTAGTTTGGGACAGAGATGGTCCTCGTCTTACAACAGTTCACTTAATGACTCTTTCAAATTACAACAGCCCTGAAAAAAGTGACTTATGACCGGAGTAGAGTAGAGTAGAGTAGAGTGTAGAGTAGAGTAGAGTAGAGTAGAGTAGAGTAGAGTAGAGTAGAGTAGAGTAGAGTAATTGAATTGAATTGAATTGAATTGAATTGAATTGAATTGAATTGAATTGAATTGAATTGAATTGAATTCTTTATTGGCCAAGTGTGATTGGACACACAAGGAATTGGTCTTTGGTGCATATGCTCTCAGTGTACATAAAAAGAGAAGATACATTCGTCAAGAATCATAAGGTACAACTCTTAATGATAGTCATTAAGGTCATAGGATGTCTTGATCTATTCCTTCTGTAGTCCACTATAAGCTTCTTGGTTTTATTGGTGTTAAGGACCAAGTTATTGCCTCCACACCACGAAAGCAACCGGTCCACCTCATCTCGATAGGCAGAGTCATGCCCCCCCCTCCCCCGGAGATGAGTCCCACCACTGTTGTATCAACTGCAAATTACTGGCGTGAGTGGGAATGCAGTCGTGCATATAAAGAGTATAGAGTAAGGGACTCAACAAGCAACCCTGTGGTGTACCAGTGTTAAGAATAAGGGCTGAAAAGATATGATTACCTAATCTGACCCTCTGAGAGTGGCCAGACAGGAAATCCATAATCCAAAGGCAGATTGAATAAGAAAACCCAAGATCCATAAATTTAGACCAGGGATCAGTAACCTGCAGCTCTGGAGCCGCATGTGGCTCTTTCCCCCACTCTGCTGCGGCTCCCTGGCACTCAAAATATGCGTCACAACCACCAATGTGCGGCACGCTATTTATTGAGCTTTTCAACCCCTGGTAGGCCAACCATGGATAAATCCAAGAAAAGAAAAGTTTCAGAAGAAAACAGAACATTTAATTCAATTACATTTGCTAGTTTTGTGGCTGCTTAAGAAATAGTCAGGCACGGGAAGGTTTTTGTGGCTCCCGGTGTTTTCTTTTCTGTGGGAAAAATGGGTCCAAATGGCTCTTTGAATGTTTAAGGTGGCAGACCCCTGCAGAGCTAAAACCTACAAAAAGCATCCTCACATACACATACACACACACACACACACGTTGTCATCTTGCCTCCTTGGTTTCTCTCTTATCATCTTGGGGAACCTCTCGCCTTGACCTGGGTTCCTTCCTGCTTTCTTCCCCCAGAGATCAATCCGATCGTTTGCTAACGATGACCGGCATGTGATGATGAAACATTCAACGATTTATCCGTCTCCGGAGGAACTCGAAGCCGTCCAGAACATGGTTTCCACCGTCGAATGTGCCCTTAAGCAGGTCTCCGACTGGATGGACGAGACCAGCAAGTCTTCTCGGGTGGAAGGCAGCTTGGAGGAGAAAGAGGAAACGGCGGATGGCCGGAGTAGCAAGTGAGTGACCGAAACATGGGCTGACCCATTTTATATTTTAGCTAGAATACTTGAGGCGCACCATCTAAGTGCTGGGTGGAAATTTTTACTCCATGCACACCTCAGCGTGATCGACTTGGGCTTTGAAGGTTCGTTGATATGGAGAATATTAGGGAAGAACGTTACATCATCTTCCTGGTGTCAGGGTCCCGACGGATGCCCTAATTCAGTCATGAGCCTCGAGCCAAGTTTCAAAAGAAATCCAGTTATTTATTAGGCGCTTCATGTCAGCACGTTCCCAAGTGAAAGCCAGCTCTGACCCTACGTAATTTACGCCCCAATTATGATTCTGTTTCTCCCCTCCCCCCAGGGTGTGTCATCAATCACATACGCCAACAGAGCAATTTCGCGGGTTGTAGAGGTCACTCCCCTCCGGCTGCTGTAGGTAACCCTGGGATACAGCCTTGAGAGAGATAAGCATGGAATGTGCATCTGTCTTTGGCTGCCGTTTCCCCGGTTTCCCATCCCCACTGGCCTATGGCAACTCGAGAGCAGGCCAGGGATGCTTTGCGAGTTGACACCTGGCAGAAGACAGGGTCTCCCCTTTTCTTCCCTGCGGCCAGGAAAGAACCAAGGTTGGGCTTGAGTAACCAGCTCATCTTGTAGCTCCTTCTGCAATTTTTTTTTCTCTCTCTCCCTCCAAATTTTGTTGGGTTTTTTTATTGATTACATTTACTAGTGCTTAATAAACATCGTGTTGTCTGGGTATTTAATTTGCTTAACCATTCTGATTACATTTTTAATCTCCACCCCTTTTTTTCCAACCACTGGTAAAATAGATTCCATCTTTGATAGTATTCTGTGTCTTTTTTTCTGCTTAATTTTCAATGTCAATTTATCCATTTATGCACAGTCTCGTATCTTCTTAATCAGGGTGGATTTGATTTAAATCCAGTCGACTTAAATCACTAGTCAAAAGGCTTGATTTAAATCAACTCGATTTAAACCAAGCCTTTTTACTAGTGATTTAAATCATGATTTAAATCAGCTGGATTTAAATCAAATCTGGTGATTTAAATCGTGATTTAAATCAGCTCGATTTAAATCATAATTTTGAAAGAGGAACTGTCGTCTCTTTTCCCGCAGTAGTCCCAATATTGCAGAATATACAGCCTCCTCATGCTACATAACTAAGCTCCGTTTCATGCTGAATAAACTAAATTATTAATGTTTCTTAAATAGAAAACTATATTTAGATAGATTTTTTACTCCAAAAGCAGTTTATTAAAATAAATTTGATAAAACTAAAAAAAAAAAATTTGATTTAAATTAAAAAAATCCAATTTAAATTTAAAAAATCTGATTTTAAAAAAAATCCAATTTTTTTTTAAAGAATAGAATAGAATAGAATAGAATAGAATAGAATAGAATAGAATAGAATAGAATAGAATAGAATAACGGAGTTGGAAGGGACCTTGGAGGTCTTCTAGTCCAACCTCCTGCCTAGGCAGGAAACCCTACACCATTTCAGACAAATGGTTGTCCAACATCTTCTTAAAAACTTCCAGTGTTGGAGCATTCACAACTTCTGGAGGCAAGTTGTTCCACTGGTTAATTGTTCTAACTGTCAGGAAATTTCTCCTGAGTTCTAAGTTCCTTCTCTCCTTGATGAATAGAATACAATAGAATAGGATTCTTTATTGGCCAAGTGTGATTGGACACAAAAGGAATTTGTCTTGGTGCATACGCTCTTGGAGTACATAAAAGAAAAGATACATTCGTCAAGAATCATAAGGTACAACACTTAATGAAAGTCATAGGGAACAAATAAGCAATCAAATCATATTAGGAAACAGTCTATATAAATCGTAAGGATACCAGCAACAAGGTTACAGTCATACAGTCATAAGTGGGAGGAGATGGGTGATAGGAACGATGAGAAGATTAATAGTAGTGCAGACTTAGTAAATAGTTTGACTGTGTTGAGGGAATTATTTGTTTAGCAGAGTGATGGCATTCGGGGAAAAACTGTCCTTGTGTCTAATTGTTCTGGTGTGTAGTGCTCTATAGCATCGTTTTGAGGGTAGGAGTTGAAACAGTTTATGTCCAGGATGCGAGGAGTCTGTAAATATTTTCACAGCCCTCTTTTTGACTTGTGCAGTATACAGATCCTCCATGGAAGGCAGGTTGGTAGCCATTGTTTTGAGTTTCCACCCATTGCTTCTTGTCCTGCCCTCAGGTGCTTTGGAGAATAGTTTGACTCCCTCTTCTTTGTGGCAGCCCCTGAGATATTGGAAGACTGCTCTCATGTCTCCCCTATCGTGTCATCGATTTTTATCCACCCTGTTCTTAATTATCTCTTCATCGCACAGTGATCTACTTGGGCTTCGAAGGTTCATTGGTATGGAGAATATTAGGGACATCACCTTCCTGGCAGAAGACAGGGTCTTCTTCTCTGTGGCCAGGAAAGAACCAGGGTTAGGCTTGAGTAACCAGCTCCTCTTGTATCTCCTTCTGCAATCTTGAGGTCTCCTCGGCCGGAGTTTATGGAGAAAGAGAGGAGCTGTGCTATCTGTCTTCCAGAGTCAGTAAGCAAAGAGGGCTGGCAGTGAGGGGCATTTGCCCCATGCTCTCCAAGGACATGCAGCATTTGTCCACTGCGCTTTGTGCAGCTGTCAGTTGAGGAGTCTCCGGGTTAAATAAGGCAAGACCGGCCTGGCCGAAGGAGACAATTTAAGGGAGGGCTGCTGAGTAGCATTTGGTGCTCAGTTCCAAGTCGGTGGAGTTCAAACATGTAACCTGACATGGTGGAGTTCAAACATGTAACCTGACATGGCTGTGGGGGGGCCTCTGCTAGATGAGCGGTTGTAGGAGAGCTTAAAATCTCTGCCTGGATTAGCTAGGACGAGGCGTCCTACCAGGAAGGAAGCTACCCATGGACCTATCGTGTTTCCCCGAAAATAAGACCAGGTCTTATATTAATTTTTGCTCCAAAAAATGCATTAGGGCTTATTTTCCAATTAGGTCTTATTTGGGGGGAAATACGGTACTAAATGCTTCCATCGGTCTGACAATCTTAACTAGGGCTTATTTTTGAGGTAGGGCTTACTTTTACTTTTACTTTTACTTTACTTTTATTTGATTTATATACCGCCCTACTCCCGAAGGACTCAGGGCGGTGAACAGCCAACAATAAAATACATACATACAAAATTTAAAAAGCAGAAATAAAATCGAATTAAATAGTTTGGCCCAGACAGATTAAAAAACCCCAATCAATTTAAAACAAATTAAACTCTGAATATTAAAAATATTAAAAATTATTAAAAATTATTTAAAAAGAGGGAGAAAGTTAGGCCAGGCCCGCCTAGTGGAATAAAAAGGTCTTAAGAGCGCAGCGGAAGGTGCGCAGATCCGGGATCCTCCGTATCTCCGGGGGGAGCTCATTCCAGATAGTAGGTGCCCCCACAGAGAAGGCTTTCCGCCTGGGGGCTGCCAGTCGACATTGTTTGGCCGACGGCACCCGGAGGATCCCCTCTCTATGAAAGCGTACCGCTGGTGGGAGGCTATTGGTGGTAGTAGGCGGTCCCGCAAGTATCCAGGTCCTAAGCCATGGAGCACTTTAAAGGTGATGACCAAAACCTTGAAGCGCACCTGGAAGACCACCGGGAGCCAGTGCAGCTCGCGCAGGAGGGTGTTACATGGGAACACCATGTCGCTCCCATTACCACCCGCGCGGCCGCACTCTGCGCCAGTTGGAGCCTCCGAGTGCACCTCAAGGGGAGCCCCATGTAGAGAGTGTTACAATAGTCCAGGCGGGAGGTGACGAAGGCATGAGTGACCGTGCGTAAGGAGACCCGATCCAGAAAGGGACGCAACTGGCGGATCAGGCGAACCTGATGAAAAATCCTCCCGGTCACAGCCATCAAGTGCTCTTCTAAAGACAGCCGTGAATCCAGGAGGACGGCCAAGTTGCACGCCCTCTCCGTGGGGGCCAATGATTCGCCCCCAATAGTCAATGATGGCACCAACTGACTATATCGGGACGTCGGAAACCACAGCCACTCGGTCTTGGATGGGTTGAGCCTGAGCCTATTCCTCCCCATCCAGATCCGCACGGCCTCCAGGCACCGGGACATCACTTCAAGGGCATCATTGGGGTGGTCTGGGGTGGAGATGTACAGCTGAGTGTCATCAGCGTACTGGTGGTACTTCACCCCGAAACCACGGATGATCTCGCCCAGCGGCTTCACATAAACGTTGAGGGGTGAGTGGACGGACCCTTGCGGCACCCCGCATATGAGGGGCCTCGGGGTCGACCTCTGCCCCCCTGGCTTAATGTCAGCGTTCCAGAAAAAAACCCAACTCCAAGTAAAGACTCTGAAGCAAGCATTTTTCAAAGTTCTATTTACCAGAATAGGTAAACTGGCACATCTGGGAAAACCCGAATTTGAGCGGTCCGGGTTTTCCCTCAGTAAATCATAACCCCAAAAACCATCCCCTCAGTCCTCAGTCGATCACATGCTCCAATCCACCGCCGTCTCATCTCGAGACATCACTCCAACCACTCCTTCTCCAGATGCCGGATCGGCCTGACCTTGACCGACAGGAAGAATGCTATTATGTCTAAAGACAAAACCCTCTACTAAATCCCACCTCCTACTTTCCCACACATGAGAAGATGGCAGCATGGAAGCTTCCGGCCTAATACGGCTTCCAAACCTGAAACTTATATTACGAGCATCCTGAAAAATTATGCTAGGGCTTATTTTCCGGTTGGGTCTTATTTTATGGGGAAATACGGTACTAAATGCATCCATCTGGCTGACAATCTTAACTGGGGCTTATTTTGGGGGTAGGGCTTATATTACGAGCATCCTGAAAAATTATGCTAGGGCTTATTTTCCGGTTGGGTCTTATTTTATGGGGAAATACGGTACTAAAGGCATCCATCTGGCTGACAATCTTAACTGGGGCTTATTTTTGGGGTAGGGCTTATATTACGAGCATCCTGAAAAATCACGCTAGGACTTATTTTCTGATTGGGTCTTATTTTAGGGGGAAATACGATACTAAATGCATCCATCTGGCTGACAATCTTAACTGGGTCTTATTTTGGGGGCAGGGCTTATATTACGAGCATCCTGAAAAATTATGCTAGGCCTTATTTTCCGGTTGGGTCCTATTTTCGGGGAAACAGGGTAGAAAGTCTACCTCTCCTCTCTCCAAGTGGAAAGCTTGGTATTCCCAGCCTGGTCAGTTTTTGCTCCAAAAGAGCCAGAGCAGCTGGTCCACTTCATTGAGTTTTTGGTTGTTTTTTGGGGGGTTTTTTAACTTGCTTTTTTTTAAAGCCCACAGACCACACATTTGGGCTTCGAGGCTGGACGCGCTGTGAAGCCATCGATGCGTGCACGAAACAAATTGTCGGGGAGATAGAAAGTCAATGGCGCAAAACAAATAATCTATGCTTAGGATAAGATGGATTTGCTGATGGCTACCCGAAGGAGTCCCAGAGCACCAATTTGCTTGACTTCTCTCCACTCCTGACCTCCCGCTTCCTGGTTTGAGTTGTAATTAATGGCGCTGATGTCACACCGTCCACATAGTGGGGGGGGGGAAAATACCCTTCCCCCCCCGCTTTGCCCCTCTGAAGTGTCCGCATGGCATTTGCCCAGGGAAATCCTGCAGAACCTGCAGTCGTATCGATAATCTGCAGTTGCAGCAATGCCATTCTGCATCTCTCTCTGCACATGTGCAGCCTTCTAACCCTGGGAATATCCTCTTACATTCTAACTCTGGGGTAACTTACTTTGGAAGTTAATGTGATGGGAGGCACCCTTGATGCCAAGGAAAAAATGAAGAGACCAGTTATGTTTTCAAATCACTTTCCAAAGTACCATTATCGTGAAGGAACATATAGAATTTCCTTGTCCGGTAAAAAGGTAAAGGTTCCCCTCGCACATATGTGCTAGTCGTTCCCGATTCTATCTCCGTTTCAAAGTCGAAGAGCCAGCACTGTCCGAAGACATCTCCGTGGTCATGTGGCCGGCATGACTCAACACCAAAGGCGCATGGAACACTGTGACCTTCCCACCAAAGGTGGCCCCTATTTTTCTACTTGCATTTTTTACGTGCTTTCGAACTGCTAGGTTGGCAGAAGCTGGGACAAGTCATGGGAGCTCACCCCGTTTACACGGCACTCGGGATTCGAACCGCTGAACTGCCGACCTTTCGATCGACAAGCTCGGTGTCTTAGCCACTGAGCCACCGTGTCTCTAATCGTAGTTATTACATTCAACCAAATTATATATTTCTAATATATAATAATACACATTTATATTAAGTTATAATCTATCGTTATTTGATTATTCAAGTATACACTAACAAATCAAGAGATCTTCCTGGCATTTGGGGAGAGTTGATCCTGCTTGATTAAGAGAAATCTGGGCCTAGTTAAAGCATGAGATATCCAGGAGGCATCACCCGGAAGTTGGAAAGGAAGACCAGAAAATGAAAATATGAAGGGCAGAAGTTGTTCATTGAACGTGCGATATCTTCCCCTTTGCTGTCTCTTTTTGTGTGAGGTTATGATTACATTTTTAACAGCTGCCGATGGTGCAAACTCCAGGAGTTTCTTTTTCCCCTGGTTCTCTATGCTGGATTTTTTTTTTTTTACATGAGCTCGTGCTAAATTTGGGGTGCTGTTTCCTTCGTCGGGTGGATTAACGTTTTTGGCCAGATGTCCCCTAAAAGGAGCATGTTGACTGTAGGGAAGCATGCATGGGAATTCAATGGTATTGGGTTGATGTTCTACCTCTTGGCCCTAATTTACTTTTCATGATGCCAGCCTTCTGGTAGCTCTTTCTATCCATTCTCCACATTTTTTTAGAGAGAGAGAGAAAGAGAGAAAGAGAATGAGAGAGAGAGAAAGAGAGAAAGGGGGCGAGAGAAAGAGAGAAATAAAGAGAAAGAGAAAGAAAGGGGAGAGAAAAAAGAGAAAGAAAGAGAGAGAAAGAGAGAGAAAGAATGAAAAAGAGAATGAGAGAATGAGAGAAAGAAAGAGAATGAGAAAGAGATGAGAGAAAGAATGAGAGAAAGAGAAAGAAAAAGCAAGAGAGAAAGAAAGAGAGAAAGAAAGAGAGAAAGAATGAGAGAAAGAAAGATGGAGAAAGAGAGAGAGAATGATAGAGAAAGAAAGAGACAGAAAGAGAGAAAGAGAGAGAGAGAAAGGGGAAGAGAGAGAGAGAGTGCGTACTTAAAAGCTCCTGCAATGAGTCAAAGCCCCTTCCCTTCCCTCCTTGCCACAAGGAAGACGAGGGGGGGAAAAAAAAAACCAACATATCCCAGATTTTCTGGAGCAGAAAAGGGATAGTGGCTGTGAAGGAGGATGGTGTGGAGCCTTAAATGCAAAATTTATTAGTGGTTAAAAAATGGTGATGTGGCAGATTATGTGGCCCAGCTGTGCCGTGTCCTTACATCAACGGTGGGATTTTCAGAAGCAGCAGCTGCCTCGTTGAAGAGGCTACTCTGCGTAAGAGCCTCTGTCGGCTTCCATTTGCCCTTCAGCTGCTCGGTGTATGTGTGTTTGAGAGAGAGAAAGTGGGGGGGAGAGGGAGAGAGAGAGCTGAGCTGAGCTGCCGGTCTAGCATTTTCTGAAATCCCAGCCACCCGTCACTGAGCTATTGACACAATGGTTTTGGTGTGAGTTGCGTTACACTCTGGAAGCCAAAGCAGCTGCTCTAATGAGTTAACAGTCTGGCGTTCACATTTCTCCATGCTCTGAAGCCTTGCACATCTCTTGTCAAACATTCTGGGTTTAAGAGAGCCAAGCAGGTGGGTGCAAAATACAATAATAATAATAATAACAACAACAAACAACAACAACAACAACTGCAAGCCGAAGTAGAAAGACTGTGGCAAAAAAAGAAAGCAGAGGTGGCATCCATAGTCATGAGAGTCTTCGGTGCGATCCCCAAAACAACTTGAGTACCGTTACGAGCACCGTCGGCATTGACAAAAATCCCCGTTGGTCAATTGCGGAAGGCAGCTTTACTAGGAACAGCTTACATCCTGCCAGGAGACATTGAAAACCTCCAAGCATCAACATCAGCTTTTCTCAGGTCCTTGGGAAGGTCTCAGTAGGTGGACAAAAATGCCAGACCCAGTCTAAATAATCTGCTGACAGTGCAGTGAACCATAATACAGGTAGTCCTTGATTTACAATGGTCCATTTAGTGACTGTTCGAAGTTACAACGACACTGAAAAACATGTCTTACGACCGTTTCTCACACAACCTTTGCAGCATCTCCATGCTCATGTGACCAAAATTCAGATGCTTGGCGACTGGTTCATATTTATGACCGTCGCTGTGTCCTGAGGTCATGTGACCACCTTTTGCAACCTTCTGACCAGCAAAATCAATGAGAAAGCCAGATTCACTTAACAACCGGGTTACTAACTTATCAACTGCAGTGATTCACCTAACAACTATGGCACAAAAGGTCATAAAACGGGGCAAAACTCACTTAACAAGTGTCTCGGTTAACCACAGAAATGTTGGGCTCAATTGTGGCCCTAAGTCGAGGACTATCTGTAATTTATTATTTGAATTACCACTGGCATTGACAAAATCCCCATCGGTCAATTGCAGCAGGCAGCTTTGCTTAGAACAGCTTACATCCTGCGAAGAAGCTTTCAGCACCATTAAAACGTCCACATCTGCCTATCTCAGATCCTTGGGAAAGTCTCCATAAAGGTAAAGGCAAAGGTTCCCCTCGCACATATGTGCTAGTCGTGCCCGACTCTAGGGGAAGGTGCTCATCTCCGTTTCAAAGCCGAAGACGTCTCCGTGATCATGTCGCTGGCAAGGACTAAATGCCAAAGGTGCACAGAACGCTGTTACCCTCCCACCAAAGGTGGTCCCTATTTTTCTACTTGCATTTTTTCCGTGCTTTCGAACTGCTAGGTAGGCAGAAGCTGGGACAAGTCACGGGAGCTCACCCCATTAGGCAGTGCTAGGGATTCGAACCACTGAGCCACTGACCTTTCGATCGGCAAACTCGGCGTCCAAGCCATTGAGCCACCGCGTCCTTAAGGTCTCCATAGGAGGGATCAAAACCTGCCAAATCCAGTCTAAACATCTGACTGACTGTGCAACCAATCATAATAATGACATTTCCTCCTCCACAGGGAGCAAGGTGGCCGGATCTTGTGCGGCGTGATGAGGATTGGTTTGGTGGCCAAAGGCTTGTTGATAAAGGACGACATGGACCTGGAACTGGTCCTGATGTGCAAAGAAAAGCCCACAGAGACCCTCTTATCCCTCGTCAAAGACAATCTACCTGTCCAAATCCAGGTGAGCTAAACTCGAGAAGCCCGCATTTATAATTAATCCCCGGGTGTTGCTGCTCCATGTTTTATATTATCTGGGCCAGTAGTGGGTTCCGTTTACCTTTGCTACCAGTTCGGAACTGTGAGCGCGCACACAGGGCGCTTCTGCGTATGCATAGAACCTTCTGTGATGACATCCAGGCAGGTGGGCGGAGCCTCCCACCACATAGGTGATGACGTCCAGACAGGTGGGAGGAGCCTCCAGCCGCTCCTGCCGCTGCCTAACCGGGGCAAACCCACCACTGATCTGGGTATAGAAGAAATGTTTGTCAGCAGCAGTGGGTTTCACATATTCTTGCCACCGGTTCGCTCGGGCTCCTTCCGCGCATGCGCCCAGTCTTCTGCATGCTCACTAGGTGCACATGCGCCTTTCACACATGTGCCCGGCCTTCCATGCATAGGCTTTGCTCGCACATGCGCCTGGCCTCGAAAACATGGCTCAATAGGACGTCATTACGTCCCACCGTCGCCACTACCGATTTGCCTGAACTACTCCGAACCGGCTGAATCCCACCTCTGTTTCCCAGTGTATTTTTTTTTCCTTAACCAAGGAAAAACTGGGGCAGTTTTAAAAATCTGCATCCATTTTTCTCGGTAACACAGGTTGGTCTCCAGAGAAGGTGAGAAAAAAACGGTGCAGGTTTCTTTGTTTTTTTTTCCCTTCCCCCTTTTGCTGCCGGTTGCTGGAAGCAGCATTTTGAAGGCCATTTTTCTTGGCGAGGTGTCTTTTCTGAGCTGAGCAAGGGCAGCCCTCCCCTCCCGCTGTCCGCTGCTCAAAAGTCTGCCCTCTAAACAAATCCTGCACCAGATAGGAAATACAGTCGTCCTTGTGACTCTTTCAGCTCATATGCAGAAAGCATCTCTCCGCAAACAAACAAGTTAAGTTGCCTCCAAGATGGGAGTGTCGGGTATCCCTTAACTCAGCAGCCCCAGGCTGCCACCCAAAATATCTTGGCCAAGGCGGTGTTATTTCTGTGGGGAGGGTGGCAGTAAACCAGCTCTCCCATGTAAATGCACCATTAATGTCCTGCTGGCTTCAGTTTCCAGTTGTAAAAAAAAAAATCACTTCCACTGTGTTTCCCATGTTTTCCCTTCTTAAGAAAGAAACACAACAGAATCCTAGGGCTGGAAGAGACCTCGGAGGTCTTCTAGTCCACCTCTTTGCTTAAACAATTGGAAGGGACCTTGGAGGTCTTCTAGTCCAACCCCCTGCTCACTATACCATTCCAGACAAATGGCTGTCCAATCTCTTCTTCAAAACCTTCAGTGATGAAACACCCACAACTTCTTGTGGCAAGCTGTTCCACTGGTTAATTGTTCTCACTGTCTGGAAGATTCTCCTTTCTACCCTGTTTCTCCACCCCCCAAAATGAGACATCCCCTGATAATAAGCCCAATCGGGCTTTTGAGCGCATGGCAATAAGGCCAAGCGCTTATTTCAGGGTTCAAAAAAATACAAGACAGGGTCTTATTTTCGGGAAAACATGGTAGATAGATAGATAGAAGATAGATCGATCGATAGCAGAGAGAGAGAGAGAGAGAGATAGCAGATAGATAGATAGAAAGATAGATAGATATAGATAACTGATAGATAGATTATATAAATAGATACCCTGTTTTCCCCAAAATAAGACATCCCCTGATAATGGCATTAAGGCCAAGCGCTTATTTCAGGGTTCAAAAAAATATAAGACAGGGTCTTATTTTCGGGGAAACATGGTAGATAGATAGATAGATAGATGATAGATAGAATAAATAGATATAGATAACTGATACCTGGTAGCAGATAGATAGATAGATAGATAGATAGATAGATAGATAGATAGATGGATGATAGATCAATCGATAGCAGAGAGAGAGAGAGAGATAGCAGATAGATAGATAGAAAGATAGATAGATATAGATAACTGATAGATTATATAAATAGATCCCCCGTTTCCCCCAAAATGAGACATCCCCTGATAATAAGCCCAATCGGGCTTTTGAGCGCATGGCAATAAGGCCAAGCACTTATTTCAAGGTTCAAAAAAATATAAGACAGGGTCTGCGGCTTGACGGAGCCCGTTTTTCTGGATCGTTTCAGAAACTCACCGAAGAGAAGTACCACATAGAACACCATCCCAGCGAAGCGTCCATCGTCATCCGTAGCACAACAGGGCTCCCGCTAACCCTCAAGGTGACCCTCACCTCTCCGCTAATCCGTGATGAAGCCGAGAAGAAGGACGGAGGTAAAGAGAGAAGTTGGAAGGAAGGGGCTGATCTTGGGTGCAACGGGGTTCACTTGGCCACAAGGGAAGGGTGCATAGCTGCTGACCTCAGTGGTAGACCCAGAGTAGAGCCAGTCTTCCTGTGGGACACTAAGCTTAGAGGAGTCACCAAATAGCAATAGCATTTAGACTTACCTGTGTTATCCCCAAAATAAGCCTGGGTCTTATATTAATTTTTGCTCCAAAAGACGCCTTATGGCTTATTTTCTAGTTAGGTCTTATTTTGGGGAAAATACAGTACTAAACCCCTCCGTCTGCTGACAATCTTAACTGTGGCTTAATTTTGGGGTAGGGCTTATATTACGAGCATCCTGAAAAATCATGCTAGGGCTTATTTTCTACTTGGGTCTTATTTTCGGGGAAACTGGGTATATACCCCTTCACAGTGCTTTACAGCTCCCTCTAAACAGTTTACAGCATCAGCCTCTTGCCCCCCAACAATCTGGGTCCTCATTTTGCCGACCTCGGAAGGACGGAAGGCTTGAGTCAACCTTGAAGCCGGTCAGGATCGAACTGCCAAATCGCTGGCAATCGGCAGAATTAGTCTGCAATACTGTATTGCACAGCCCAGCCATCGAAGATACTACTTGAATTTCTAGAGGGATAGAAACTTATAATTTCCTATAATGCCCCCTGAATCAGAAACTGGCAGGATTTGACTTGGCCTGGATTTGCAGCCACCGACTATGTTTCCCCAAAAATAAGACCAGGTCTTATATTAATTGTTGCTCCCAAAATCCATTAGGGCTTATTTTCTGATTAGGGCTTATTTTGGGGGAAAATATAGTACTAAATGCATCCATCTGGCTGACAATCTTAACTCAGGTTTATTTTGGGAGTAGGGCTTATATTACGAGCATCCTGAAAAAATCATGCTAGGACTTATTTTTGGTTGGGTCTTATTTTGGGAGGAAATATACTAAATGCATCCATCTGGCTGACAATCTTAACTCAGGTTTATTTTGGGGGTAGGGCTTATATTATGAGTATCCTGAAAAATCATGCTAGGACTTATTTTTGGTTGGGTCTTATTTTGGGGGAAATAGGGTATTTTGGTGCGAAACAAGCCAATTTCTGGAGTGAGCTAGACTTTCTAGACTGTAGAAAGTTTTATTTCTACCGTCTGGAAACGGATAATCTGGTGGCCGAAGGCCCAAGGGATTGGGATTAGATGGGTTTTGGTGTCTCTCCCATCTCTGAATGCATTCAGATGTCTGGATTTGGGGCTAAGCATGAGGAGAAAATTTGTAACCTGACATTAAAAGCCTCTGGAGGTTGTGACCTCTTTTTCACTGGATGCTGTTTTGGAGGTAGAAGAAGCAGATTCTTTTGGTTCCTTTCTAAATAAATGGTCCTAGGAGTAGTTCTAGTCATATTTCAGTTAGTGCCAAAGGAAGAGAAAGGTTTCTAAAAGTCATTCCCTATTTTCATAATTTTATAATCTTACAAGGAGATCCTTTGAGTAGGATTATGTCCCACCAAGTAACCTTCACTGACATTTCTTCTACTTCGCTATCGGTTGTCAATCAATATCAAGTCAGTTTGCTTTATAAATGCTGGCCCGGGAGGGGGGGGGAAACAATTACGTGAGACAAGGGTTCCCTCGAAACCACAAAAATGTGTGTCTCTGCTTTTCCCGCAAACGTGCCGGCACGTCAGTCTAGAACGAAAGCGTCACACGGTCCAATTGTGACAAGAGGGATTGCAACGGGTTGCAGTCAGGGGTGGGCTTCAAAACTTTTAGCAAGGAGTCCTCTGCCTGGTTGCTGGGTGAGCGTGGCCATGGTGGGCGTGGCCTAGTCGCCTCCTGCACCAAGGTGGGGGGGGCATTTTTGCCCTCCCTGGGCTCCGGAGGCTTTTTTTGAGCCTCAGGGAGGGCGAAAATGGCCTACCCAGTTCTGGAGGCCGGGAACAGGCCCGTTTCCGGCCTTCCCGAACTTCCAGTAGGCCCGTTTTTCGCCTTCCCTGAGCCTCCGCATGTGCCCTGCACTTGCCTGCATCTAAAACGGGCCGTGTGGGGACTCCTAGGAGGGGTGGGGTGGGCGGGGCCAGCCAGGATTTGGGGGGTTCTCTGAACTGCACAGAATCTTAGCTAGAGGTTCTCCCGAACCCGTAGCAGCCCACCGCTGCATCTTCCCCCTTTTGAGTTTACCTCATGGGCATCTGCTTGCCTTTCCTCCATGCAGTGTCAAGCCGACATCGCTGTCCTTGATGTTGGATCTTCTGCTTTTTTGGAGCAGACCAGCCAAGAACTTCTGACAGTTTTGTTTGGATGGGTCAACTGATCCAAAAAGGAGCCCAGAGCAGATCTGAGAGTTCTTCCATGCCCTAGCCATCAACTGCATTTTATTTTGGTGGTTGGTGCTGTCATTCCGGACCAGTGATGGTGAACCTTTTCAGCACCGAGTGCCCAAACTGGAACGCATGTACGCTGGAGCACCTGAAACCCAAAAACCAGCTGGCCGGTGACCTCATGCCTGTTTTTTGGCCATTTTCAGGCAATTTTCGGCTGTTTTCAGGCCATTTTTGGGCCCAAACCAGCCTGAAAATGGCCCCAAAACAGCCCCCAAAACGCCCTGAAAATGGCCTGAAAAACCATTTTTTGGCTGTTTTTCAGGCTATTTTCCAGCACTCCGGCACCCGCAAACACCAGCTGGCACACATGCCCACAGAGAGGGCTTTGCGTGCCACCTCGGGCACGCGTGTACCCAAGGTTCGCCATCACGTTTCTAGACCCAAATCTTAGGCATTGCACCAATTCTATTGCGGAAGAAACGAATTGGATTTTCCCACCTCCCGATGCCACCCACTGAATCACTTCAGCAGCAAAACTTGGACACCCGGTGTTCGGTTGGCACTCTTCCCAAAACTGTGCCATGCAGACAAAACGCTCTTTTTACTATTGTTTTTTTTTTTAATTAGAAAAACAAAACAAAAGCGTTTTCTATTGCAAGTCCATTTATTAATTTTTGTCCATTTGCTGGCAGTTTTTCGATGTAGTAAAAAAAAACTGTGTTTTTCTTGATGGGCTGTTATCTGGATGAATGGCTCCTTTGTCCATTTTTTTTCTCCCCTGTCCTTGGGTGGTGGGAGGAATCTCCCTTTTCCCTGCCCTGTACCAGCTGCTGGGAGCAATGAACGACAGCCCTCCCCCCACCCAACTCAACTCCCTCCCCCCCATCACATTTGCTTACTGTGATTTCATGGACCTCCACTTGGCCTGACCCAACCTTCAGATATTTCTTCAATTCCACTTCCAGAATAACCAAGGCTGTTGAAGATGTTGATTTGCTATCATTATGGGTTCTCCTACAGTAGTGGCCAAAATTGTGGGAACCTTTTGGGGGAAAGTGTATTTTCTAAAACTAGCTAATAACACCAATTTTTTTTTTTTTTGGACTAGTACCATAAAATTATATACCAATGGAAAGATACCGTGTTTCCCCAAAAATATGACCCTGTCATATTTTTTTGAACCCTGAAATAAGCTCTTGGCCTTATTGCCATGCGCTCAAAAGTCAGTTTGGGCTTATTATCAGGGGATGTCTTATTTTGGGGGAAACAGGGTATCTATCTAATCTATCTATTTCTATCTCTATCTATCTATCTATCTATCTATCTATCTATCTATCTATCTATCTGCTATCTATCTGCTATCTCTCTCTGCTATCTATGTATATCTATCAGCTGTCAGTTATCTATATCTATTCTATCAGTTATCTATCTATCTGCTATCTCTGCTATCTATCTGTCTATCTATCTATTTCTATCTATCTATATCTATCTATTCTATTGCTATCTCTCTCTGCTATCTATCTATTTATCTATATCAGCTATCAGTTATCTATATCTATTCTATCAGTTATCTATCTATCTGCTATCTCTCTGCTATCTATTTATATCTATCACTATCTATCAGTTATCTATATCTATTCTATCAGTTATCTATCTATCTATCTATCTATCTGCTATCTCTCTGCTATCTATCTACCTACCTACCGACCTACTTACCTACCGTGTTTCCCCGAAAATATGACCCTGTCTTATATTTTTTTGAACCCTGAAATAAGCTCTCGGCCTTATTGCCGGGCGCTCAAAAGCCCAATTGGGCTTATTATCAGGGGATGTCTTATTTTGGGGGAAACAGGGTAATTGTATCAAGAATGTAATGCTGTAACTTTTATGAAGAATTTGCTATTAGAATAGCCATTACAGTATAAAGAAGAAAAGTGAAACACATAGAAAAAAACCTAGATCTACAAAAATGATCACCCTAGAAAAAACGAGATATACAAAAATTACCACCATGTCAGTTAATACTTCATTGGGTAATCTTTAGCATGAATTACGACCTTACAACGTCTTTCCATGAAGTGAACCAAGTCTTTTAGTTCTGCAGCTGTTATCATGTGGAACCAAGACTGAATGATGACTTCTATTAACTGGGTTTTATTACTGAGTCGCTTCTGACTAACCAGTTTTAGTCAGCTGCATCGATTTTCACTTAGGTGAAGGTCTGGGCTCTTCCCAGGCCATTCCAGCAGTGGAATAGGATTATCTTGAAACTCTTCCCAAAAAAAGTGGTGTTGTTAGCCATCAAACTTCAAAAATACACTTTTTCCACAATTTTGGCCACTACTGTAGATACGTGTCTCTTTCCTCCTCACTCTGCCCTAAGTCCAGCCCCGGTTGTTTAATGGACTCCATGGCTTGAAGTCTGGAGAAAAAGAGATGGATTCTTCTGAAGAAAACCTGGGTTTCTTCTGGATAAAAGTGAGCTGGCGTAAGTTGACGTGGCCCATTGGTCTGGCTAAGAAAGAAACCCAAGTGAGAAGAAGAAGAAGTCAATTAACCTTTAGAGGAAGGACTCATGTTGACACAGATTCCACCTTACATCCTTTTGCAATGCTAATGCCTCTTCTTTCTTCACCCCCTGGTCTCCTTTGTGGAGTAAATCATGACCTATTGTATCTCCTCAACCTTACCTAGAACTTCCCTTACTAACCTTTCACCACCATTGATGGACCAGGCATGAAACCAATGACCGTTTTCTACCTGTGGTTTTTCCCGACTGGTCCTCTCCTTCTCTTCCTCCACCCCAGCTCCTCTTTCCATTCTTCTCTTCCCCCCCCCCCCCCAACTACCCCCTTTCCCCTCCTCCCAAGAGTTTCACTCTCTCACAATCGCTGTCTCCAATCTAAGAGGCACAACCTTTTCAGAAACACCACAACATAACTTCTCCCCACCCCTGTTGTTTTCCAAGGTCTTCCCTCAAACCTCTTTCAGCATGGCTCCTTCAAGTAAGCATTAACCAGCAACTTTGAGGGGAAGGTCTTATCTTCCTCCGGGTGAACCATTAAGACAGAAGAAAAGCTACCGTGTGGGTCTCAAAAAAACTTCATCTGCCATTTTGCCTTTCCTTCGCTCTGTGTTAATGGTTACCCAACTGCACGATTCAGTGAAGGAAGCTGCTTAGGACCATTCGTGGTTGGTGAGATGGCCTTGGAGACGGACAATCTGTAGTTGTTGTTTTTTGACCTCCCCTCAAAGGACTTTCAAGCAAAGTCTTCGATTTACTCGCCGGTTGCTGTACAATTTGAGCAGATCGTTCTGCCGTGTCTGGGCCGCAATTTGTGAAAAGGCCACTCTTACAAATTCGATCAATCAATCAATAAGCGCCATTCGCCTTCCCTGAAGTACAAACGTTTTATCGGATCCAAATGACCCCCCAAGTTATCCATGGAAGGTGACCAGCATGGTCCTTCCCCTCACAGGAGAAGGAACCGTTGCGGACTAAAAGTTGAGGAGAGAAAAGAAAAAACAAAAACAACAACTACAGCTTTAACTTCCTTTGTTTTTTTTTTCCTGGAAAACCGACCGACCGACCAAATCCCCCAAAACTAGAGTTGTGTCCTTGTTGTTGCTTGTGAGCCTCTTGAGGGCTTAATCTTGTGGATGACTTTGCAGCTTTTATTGGGCCGTCTTACAAAACCGGTCACGCCAGTAACTCTCCCTCCCTCCGTCGAATCGAAAAAAACCAAAAAAAAAAATCAACGCTGCAAAGTTCATAAGAGGGTCGACGGTAACTGTGTGAGGCTTTGTGGTATCTCAACAAGGCAAGAACAGCGAACGCAAGACAGATTTATTTATTTATTTTTGAGGTTTATTCTCTTTTTTTCGGCTTCCTTATGCCCCGGCGGGCCCACTGTTGAGTAAAGCAGAGGTCTTCCATCTTGGTGACTATACGGCTTGTCGACTTCCAACTCCCAGAATCCTAGGTGTTGAAGTTCACAAGTGGTAGTAAAGTTCCCAAGGTTGGAAACCCCCTGGAGTAAAGGTATGGCTGAAAACACAAGAAAATACAAAACTATAAAATTGCCCCTTCCGACCACAATTTGCACTGTAGCACAAAGGGGACCCAGTGACTCGGCGGCTAAGACGCTGAGCTTGTCGATCGGAAGGTCGGCAGTTCAGCGGTTCAAATCCCTAGTGCCGCGTAACGGGGTGAGCTCCCGTTCCTTGTCCCAGCTTCTGCCAACCTAGCACTTCGAAAGCACGTAAAAAAAATGCAAGTAGAAAAATAGGGACCACCTTTGCTGGGAAGGGAACAGCGTTCCGTGTGCCTTTGGCGTTGAGTCATGCCGGCCACATGACCACGGAGACGTCTTCGGACAGCGCTGGCTCTTCGGCTTTGAAACGGAGATGAGCACCGCCCCCTAGAGTCGGGAACGACTAGCACATATATGCGAGGGGAACCTTTACCTTTTACACTTTTCCCAGCCAGCAATATCTGTTTGTGTGTGTTGATTCACACCCATCCATTGCTTCCTTTCCCCAAAAAAACGGCAGTTGTTCTGGGGAACTTTTTCAGGAGAATCACACAAACACACCCTTAAAACTTCCGCCCCAGTTTCCTCTTTCTCGAGAGCTTTGTGGAAGCTCTTGGTTCAACTTTGAAAAAGTTGTCATTCTTATTGCAAAGTTCAAAACACAACATTGGCTTGTCGTCTTAAAAAAATAAAAAATAAAAATTGGGTGTGGTTGGTCGCCATCCGAAGCTGAAGGTTGAATTTGTCCAGGGTCCCGAATGGATTCGTTGCCCGTTTTAGCACCCGCAAAATTTCTTAAAAGTTGTGGATGCAGAATCTTACCCAGAAAACCTTTGATCTGATGACAAGGGACGAGGCCCAAGAATTTGTTCACAGATCTCTCTCAGCAAATGTCTTCCCCACCCCCCAAAAAAATACTTCTACCTAACGAACCGGCAAAGTATTTTGATGTTTGCTGCAGCCAATCCAGGTCTTATCTAAGAAAAAAGAGAAAATTGGAGGAAACCGACAGATTTTCCCGCCTTCCAAAGTTTGTGGGCCACGCCACAAGGCTTCCAAAGGAAAAAAGAGTGTAAATTTCAACGATTTGTTGCTTCTTCATCCAAATTTGTGAAAAGAACGTTTAAAATAACAAAAGTTCTCCGCAGATTCCTGGTTTTCCAGGCGTCTTGGCTCTGAAGGTTGCCGATCATTGCTTTTTCTGAAAAAGTAGATGAGTACATAAGCAAACCCTCAAGCCTTTTGCAAGGAGCAGAGAAGCCGCTGAAAATCTCTCTCTCTCTTTCTCTCTCTCTCCCACCCTCCCTCTCTTTTCCTCCCCCTCTCTTTTCCTCTCTCTTTCCCTTTCTCTCTCTTTCCCTCTTTCTTTTTCCCCCCTCTTCTTTCTCTTTCCCTCTTTCTCTCCTCTCTCTTTCTCTCTCTCTCCCTCCTCTTTTTCTCTTTTTCCCTCCCTTCCTCCCTCTTTCCCTCTCTCTGCCTCCCTCCCCCCTGTCTCTTTCCCTTTCTCTTTCCCTCTATCTCTTTCCCTCTCCCTCTCTTTTCCTCTCTCCCTTTCCTTCCCACCCTCCCTCTCTCTTTTCCTCTCTCTCTCTTTCCCTCTTTCTTTTCCCCCCTCTTCTTTCTCTTTTCCCTTTCTCCTCTCTTTCTCTCTTTCTCCCACTCCTGTTTTTCTCTTTCCCTCCCTTCCCCTCTTTCTTTCCTTCCCCCTCTCTCTCTTTCCCTTTCTCTTTCCCTCTCTCTCTCTTTCCCTTTCTCCCTCTCGCTCCCTCTCTTCCCCTCTTTTCTCTCTCTCTTTCCCCACCTCTCTTTCCCTCTCTCTCTCTCTGCTTCCAAATTTTCTTTTTTGCCTTGAGAAATCACGAGAATGATGCAAAGCAGCACACTTTGTATCGTCTGCCCCGAGTTCTTTTTAACCAATTAATAAGATCCCAGATTGTCTGCAAACACTGGAAGAAAACAAAAACAAAAACACGGCCTATATTTTGCTCCTTGTACAACACGCCTAATTACTATACTATTTTAAAGAGAAAAAAAAAAAAAGAAGGACCTGGCACATGTGTTATGTGGTTTTGTTTTTTTTAAAAAAAATACGCGATGCCTCCTTGACAGGACAAAAATTACGGAGTTAAAATGGAAAAGCCAGTGCAATTCTGGGCGTCTTATTAAAAAAAAAACCTCTTCTGTCTTGCTGGCATTTGTTCTGTGTTTGGGGCATCAGAATTGTCCGCTTGTTCCAACTCTGCATGTCTCTTTTTGTTTTCTCTTCATATTCCCATTTTCCCAGTAGACAATGTCCCGGTGAAAGATTCTTCGGATTTACTCAGCAGGCAAAAGTGCCTCGAAGCTTTGGCGTCTCTGCGACACGCCAAATGGTTCCAGGTTCGGCATTTTGTTCTTACCTATCGTAGCCTTTTCAAAAGTTTCTTTTTTAAAAAATAATAATCATAACAAAAAAAATATAAAACCGTAGTCGTTTAGGTTGGACCACCCTTGCAGACAAGAACGGGACAATTCTGGTTTTTTTTAGGCCAGAGCAAACGGGCTAAAATCGTGCGTGATTGTGCTGCGAATCCTGAGAGATTTATGCAACCGAGTTCCTTCCTGGGCGCCGTTGAAAGGTTGGGTGAGTGTCGCTTCGTCCACGTTTGCAAAAATTTGCAATGCGGTCCGTAATTACATCTTTTTGCCTCTTCTAATTTCTCCTCCTCAGCACTTCAGTTCAACCCCGGTCAATTTCCTTTTGGTAAAAATAATCCTTGCAGGTTTTAGTACTTTCTGTGGAATGGGGTTAGGTTACCTGTCCGTAAGACAGAATCTTCAGGGCAAGCACCCAGTTGAACAAACATCTCAAGAACTTCTCCTCGACCATCTGTGGTCCCAGGATTGTCTCCTAAGTTAGGCCTGTTGAAAACAAAAGAGCAACCCCTTTTGGTGAGCAAGGAGGACCAAAGTTTTCACAACTACCACATGGTAATTCCCAAGTTTGTCCTGCAAGGACACTTCTGTCCAAAAAGTGATGGATCCAAAACAGAAGTCCTAGAGAGACAGTAGAAGAGCAGATGTGTACCTCAGGGTTGAACAGTGGAGGTCTTGGTGCCTTCTGATCTTGATTGTTGGCTGGCAGATGTATCATTACCCAGCTGACTAAGATAGGATAGGATAGGATAGGATAGGATAGGATAAGGGATAGAATTAGAATTAGAATAGAATAGAACAGAATAGCATAGCATAGCATAGCATAGCATAGAAAAGAAATCGGAATTAGAATAGAAAAGAAATTGCAATAGAATAGAATAGAATAGAATAGAAGAATGAAATAATGAATAGGATAGATAGGATAGGATAGGATAGAAGAAGGGATAGAAGAAGAATTAGAATAGAATAGAATAGAAGTTGGAATAGAATAGAAAAGAAATTGGAATAGAAAAGAAATCGGAATAGAATAGAACAGAACAGAACAGAAGTTGGAATAGAAAAGAAACTGGAATAGAATAGAAGTTGGAATAGAATAGAAAAGAAATTGGAATAGAAGAATGAAATAATGAATAGAATAGGAATAGAATAAGAATTAGAATAGAATAGAATAGAATAGAATAGAATAGAATAGAATAGAATAAGGGATAGAATAGAATAAGGAATAGAATAGAATAGGGGATAAAATAGAATAGAATAGAATAAGGGGTAGAATAGAATAGAATAGCATAGCATAGCATAGAAAAGAAATCGGAATAGAATAGAAAAGAAATTGCAATAGAATAGAATAGAATAGAATAGAAGAATGAAATAATGAATAGGATAGATAGGATAGGATAGAAGGGATAGAAGAAGAATTAGAATAGAATAGAATAGAAGTTGAATAGAATAGAAAAGAAATTGGAATAGAAAAGAAATCGGAATAGAATAGAATAGAAGTTGGAATCGAAAAGAAACTGGAATAGAATAGAAGTTGGAATACAATAGAAAAGAAATCGAATAGAAGAATGAAATAATGAATAGAATAGAAATAGAATAAGAATTGGAATAGAATAGAATAGAATAGAATAGAATAGAATAGAATAGAATAGAATAGAATAGAATAGAATAGAATAGAATAAGGGATAGAATAGAATAAGGAATAGAATAGATAAGGGATAGAATAGGAATAGAATAGCATAGCATAGCATAGCATAGAAAAGAAATCGGAATAGAATAGAAAAGAAATTGCAATAGAATAGAATAGAATAGAATAGAATAGAATAAATAGAATAGAATAGAAGAATGAAATAATGAATAGGATAGATAGGATAGGATAGGATAGGATAGAATAAGGGATAGAAGAAGAATTAGAATAGAATAGAATAGAAGTTGGAATAGAAAAGAAACGAATAGAATAGAAGTTGGAATAGAATAGAAAAGAAATTGGAATAGAAGAATGAAATAATGAATAGAATAGGAATAGAATAAGAATTAGAATAGAATAAAATAGAATAGAATAGAATAAGGGATAGAATAGAATAAGGAATAGAATAAGAATAGAATAGAATAGAATAGAATAGAATAGAATAGAATAGAATAGTATAGTTTATTGGCCAAGTGTGATTGGACACACAAGGAATTTGTCTTTGGTGCATATGCTCTCAAGTGTACATAAAGAAAAAATAAAATATATTCGTCAAGAATCATAAGATACAACACTTAGTGATAGTCATAGGTTACTAAATAAGCTATCAAATCTTACTAGGAAACAAATAAAGCCAATATAAATTGAAAGATACAAGCAACATGGTTATAGTCATAAGTGGGAAGAGATAGATACTAGTAAGAAAGAGAAGAATAATAGTAGTCCAGCCTTAGTAAATAGTTTGACAGTGTTGAGGGAATTATTTGTTTAGCAGAGTGATGGCATTCGGGAAAAAAACTGTCCTTGTGTCTAGTTGTTCTGGTGTGCAGGGCTCTATAGCGTCGTTTTGAGGGTAGGAGTTGAAACACTTTATATCCAGGATGCGAGGGGTCTGTAGATATTTTCCCAGCCCTCTTTAACATCAATAATGAGGGGCATCCTTGTTGGCACCTATCTCTGCTACAGAGCAATTCCTTTTCCCCCATCCTGGAATATTATTAGATATATATGTATGTATGTATGTATGTATGTATGTATGTATGTATGTATATTTTACATATTCCATATGAGGGATTTTTCTCCTTGGTCCCGATTGATGTGCTGGTTGATAAAAGAGTCCCTACAGAAATTGTGTTCTGTTATTCTGATGTAAACGTTGAATTTGGATCACACATACTGCTGCTTCTGCCCATGGTACACTCAATGGTGAGTGAATCTCAAAACACCAATCGCCAGAACAGGAAATGATTCTCCTTTGGTGGGTCCAAAAGTTCAGATACCTCAAAAGAAAGAGGGCCGAATTTCGAACCATGGCAACGACGGATGGAAATTTATTCCGTGCCTTTCTGACCTCCTGCTTTTGGGCTTGCCTTGTCTGTCCATCAGTCTTTCTTTCTGTGATATTTTCATACCATTAGTACTGACACCGTCCAGTTGTCTTCCAGCCCCTGGAGCTGCTGTGCGAGAAAGCCATTGGCACCTGTAACAGGCCGTTGGGTGCAGGAGAAGCTCTCCGGCGAGTGTTGGAGTGTTTGGCCTCCGGCATCCTGTTGCCAGGTAAGATCCGCCAAGCTTTTTCTCCAAGGTTGACCGGTCGTGCATTGATGGACCGCGCTAGCATGTCCTATCTGGATGGCCGTCTTCTGGTTTGCCGATCCTGTTGAGTTTAGAAGACAACTCCTGTTCTGACCTAGGCTTCCTTAGAAAGTATACGGCACAAACTTAGTCCCGGCAAACCTCTTCAATTCATACGGCTATAAATTACTTTCATTTACAGTCTGCAAGGATTGATAAACAGTCTTTCAGAGGAGTGTTTACAAACACCCACCTTATCTCCCTTGGAACGCTGCCAGAAAACTAATTGCCACACGCAGGGCAAGGCCAAACTTGGCACAGAGTCACAAACAGAACTTTTCCAGAGCTTTTAGCGACCAGATGAACTAATTGTTTCCTGCAAAAGCTCATGTCCCGTTCGCTCCTCTTTTATGTCTTATGGGAGGGGCCAATCATCTCCAAGCCTTACTCCCAAGTCGACCCTGTTTCCTTAATTGTTCCTGTCTCCTGGCAGCTCTGCGCATGCGCACTCTGGGAACAGGCTCATACTGTTCTTCTGCCTCACTGATGTCAGACTCCGGAGGCAGCAAAGAACTTGGCCCCCTCTCTGTCTCCGACTCAGAGCCCTCATCCGAGCCTTCCCTAGACTCCAGGACTGGCCCACGTTCCTCCCCAACCTCCTCACTGTCCGAATCTGCTGCCAGCTCTGCTGGCTGCTGGCGGGCCACAACAACTCCCCAATGTGTGGTCTTCTCTAAGTAGGAGAATGGAACAGGTTGTCCATCCTTCTTGAGAGCGGGCAAAGGTCTTCTTCTCAGATCTGTTATCGTGGGGTGATGACACCAACGTAAAACACAGTGCAGTTTTTCATAGCTGTTCACCTTTCTGAAAACACAATCTCATTTTTGAGGTTGGCTTGAGGAACCTTGGCTGATACAAGTCAAGGATGGTTGGGGGGGAGCCATTTTTTTTTCCATCCCCAGCTGCCTCCACAGCTTTTCTCTTTAGACCTTTCTTTGAAATCCATATGCAGAACTGATAACAAAGTCAACTGATAACATTGTGTAAGAGACGCCCAGGAGTGAAATTCAGCAGGTTCTGACAGGTTCTGGAGAACCGGTAGCGGAAATTTTGAGTAGTTCGGAGAACCGGCAAATACCACCTCCGGCTGGCCCCAGAGTTGGGTGGGAATGGAGATTTTGCAGTATCCTTCCCCTGCCACGCCCACCAAGCCAAACCATGCCCACCAAGCCATGCCCACAGAACCGGTAGTAAAAAAAATTTGAATTCCACCACTGGCAGACGTTCATCTCTTAACTAGCCATTTCCCTCCCAGGTAGCTCTTTTTTTGTTGTTGTTTCTGTGGCATCAGGATTATGGTTTTGAGGGTCCATTGGAGAGGGCTGAGGGTTGAACTCCTTCCTTGTACCTAGGTGGGCCCGGCGTGCATGACCCCTGCGAACGAGAGCCAACGGATGCCTTGTCTAGCGTGACTGTTCCACAAAGGGAAGCCATAACCCATAGTGCCCAGGTAAAAACATGCCAGCCACCTAGGTTGGTCTCTTTTCCCTCCAGCAATGGAGAACGAGGGTCTTCGTGGATTAAAGGCACCCAACACCGCTGCTTAGGGTGATGGGTTGAAAGCAGGGGTGGGCTGCTGGGGGTTCGCACGGGTTTGGGCGATCCTCTAGCTAAGATTCTGCTCACAAATCCCACCCCTGGCTGGCCCCTCCCACCCCACCCCTCCCCTCCCAAGAGTCTCCACGCGGCCCGTTTTGGATGCCAGGTAAGTATAGGGATTGCGTGGAGGCTCAGGGAGGGTAAAAAACGGGCCTCTGGGAAGTTCCAGAAGGCCAAAATTTGACTGTTTCCGGCCTCTGGAGGCTGGGGGAGGCTGTTTTCACCCTCCCGGAGGCTCCAGGAAAGGCTCTGGAGCCTGGGGAGGGCGAAAAACGGGCCTACCAGAAATTCAGAAACAGGTCCGTTTCTGGCCTCCAGAGGGCCTCCAGAGCCCAAGGGAGGCCGTTTTTGCCCTCCTGGAGGCTCCAGGAAAGCCTCTAGAGCCTGGGGAGAGCAAATAATGCCACACACACACCCCAGCCGTGGTGTAGGAGGCCAACTAGGCCACGTCCACCACGCCCACCCAGCAACCAGGCAGAGACCCCGTTGCTTGAGATTTTTTGAAGCCCACCCCTGGTGGAAAGCTGCCCAATCTGTGGAGCAGAGTTCTCTTTGGTATCGGAGTTGGGGCCGACTCACCAAATAATGTCCTTTCACCGCCTTATGTTTGACCCATTTTCATGGTTTCCACAGCATGCCCTGAGACTCTCGGCTTTCGGCCAAATCTACAAGGTGCTGGAGATGGATCCTCTCCCTTCCAATAAGTCGTTCCAGAAATACTCGTGGTCGGGGGTCGACAAAGAAGGTAGGTGCACCCGAAGGCAGGACAAGAAGCAACGGATGGAAACCAATCAAGGAGGGAACTAGCTAATAAAACCATTTTTTTTTTTTTTGGAGTAGTGCCTAAAATTATAGACATTATAGCATTGATTCCACTAATCAATGGAAAGAGAATTTAATCAAGAATGTAATGCAATAACTTTGGAAGGATTTGCTATTAGAATAGCAGTTACAGTACAAAGAAGAAAAGCGAAACACGTAGAAGAAACGAGATATAAAAAATGATCACCATATCAGTTAATACTTAGTTGGGTAACCTTCAGCATGAATGATGGTCTTAAAACGTCTTCCCATGGAGTGAACCAAGTCTTTTGAGTTCTGCGGCTGTTATCATGTGAAACCAAGATTGAATGATGGCTTCTGTTAACTGGGTTTTATTGCTGTGTCACTTCTGACTAACCAGTTTCTTTCATCGGAAAATCCATAGATTTTCCATTGGGTGAAGGTCTGGGCTATTCTCAGGCCATTCCAGCAGTGGAATAAGATTATCTTGAAACTCCAGTGAATATTCCTAATAAAAATGTCTCTGGTTTCCTATCAATAGGTTATTTTTTCTAGCCATTTCTTGATTTTAACCCAAAACTAGAAAATATACTAAAGAAATAAAATACTTGATTTTACATATTATAACGGCCGCGCGAATATCATTTGCACAAAATTGGAAAAATAAAAATACACCAACAGAGGAAGAATTGATTAAAAAAAAATCTTAAAAGTGTGCGGAGATGGGCAAATTAACAAAAGAACTTAAAAGAAAAGGAAGATACGGAATGCTATGTAATATGGAACAAATGGTACAACTGGCTGGAGATTAGAAATCGGGTGGATAAAAATCAATGATTTTTTTTAAAAAAATCAAAAAAATCGGATTTTTTTTATTTTTATCGAATTTATTTTAGTAAAAAACTTTTGGGGTAAAAATCTATTGTAAGATAGTTTTCTATTTAAGATACATAAATAGTTTATTCAGCATGAAACGGAGCTTAGTTATGGAGCACGAGGCTGTATATTCTGCAACACTGGGACTATCGGTGAGTCAACAGTGGGTCAAAGGAGTAGCAGAGAGGACAGTTGCTCTTTAAAAATTATGATTTAAATCGAGTTGATTTAAATCAAGCCTTTTTACTAGTGATTTAAATCATGATTTAAATTGTGATTTAAATCAACTCGATTTAAATTAACTCGATTTAAATCAAATCCACCCTGTTAGAAATAGTGAACAATAATGAAAGGGGAGAAATCATAAATGTAAAAAAGTTTATAGGACAATGTATAAAATGTACAAAATTAATATCATGATTGTTAGGAATTATAATGTAAATAAGAGAAAAAGGGACAAGAAGGAAAAGTACAATATAAGGGGAAATGATGTAAATAGGAGAAGAGGACTGTTACGAAACAGTTGTAAAAAAGAACTTTATATTTTGTGTTTTGTGTTTGTTATATTGTGTTGTGTTATAAATAAAATTTTTTTAAAAAGGTTATCTTGAAACTCAAAAAAAAAAAAAGTATTGTTATTAGCCATCAAACCTCAGGTTTTTAAGAAGGGACTGGACAGCCACTTGTCTGAAATGGAATAGAGTTTCCTGCCTAAGCAGAGGGTTGGACTAGAAGACCTCCAAGGTCCCTTCCAACTCTCTTATTCTGTTCATTCTCCCTTTCCTGGACAGCTGATCGTTCCAGTGATACAATCACGGTCTAATTAATTGCAACTAATTGACTTGTGTACTGGAAAATTAGAGGGATGGGGTGGCTCAGTGGCTAAGACGCTGAGCTTGTCGATCAAAAAGTCGGCAGATCGGTGGTTCGAATCCCTAGCGCCGCGTAACGGGGTGAGCTCCCGTGACTTGTCCCAGTTTCTGCCAACCTAGCAGTTCGAAAGCACGTAAAAAAATGCAAGTAGAAAAATAGGGACCACCTTTGGTGGGAAGGTAACAGTGTTCTGTGCGCCTTTGGCGTTGAGTCATGCCGGCCACATGACCACAGAGACGTCTTCGGACAGCGCTGGCTCTTCGGCTTTGAAACGGAGATGAGCACCGCCCCCTAGAGTCAGGAACGAGTAGCATGTATGTGCGAGGGGAACCTTTATTGGAAAATTATAATCTCTGTGATGTTTTTAACTCCCTCCTTGATTCGGTTGTGTTTTACTTTTTATTCCTCCGCCTTGGAGTCGTTTAACGTTCTTTTAAATATATATATTTTAATAGAGATTCCTACCCACCCCCTCCCCAAAGAATCCTTTCTCTAACTATCCTAGAAAACTGGCATCCAAAGTGCAGGGCCCACAGCCAATCTTCCTTCATGCAAAAGGGGTTTTTTTCTCAATGCTTTTACACGGCTCAGCTGCATCGTATCCATCAGCGATGCTCGCCTTTTCCTTTTATGCAATTGAACACAAAAATATATATATATTTTTTTTTTTCTTTCCAGGCGCAGGTTCGTCTGCCCTAAAGAGGCCTTTTGAAGACGGGTTGGGGGACGAGAAAGACCCCAGTAAGAAAATGAAGAGGAATTTGAGGAAAAGTAAGGAGGTTTCTTTCTTCTCCTTCGCTTTTATTACCGACACATTCTTTTGTTTTAATTTTTTTTTTTTAATTTGATTTATATGCCGCCCTTCTCCGGAGACTCAGGGCGGCTTACAATGCGTTAAGCAATAGCCTTCATACTTTTGTATATTTATACAAAGTCAGCTTATTGCCCCCACAATCCGGGTCCTCAATTTACCTACCTTAGAAAGGATGGAAGGCTGAGTCAACCTTGAGCCTTGGCGAGATTCGAACCTGCAGTAATTGCAGGCAGCTGGTCTTAATAACCAGCTTAATAACAGAGTGCCTTAGACCACTGTACTACCAAGACTCTTCTAAGCTTCCCTTTGTTCATTTCTGCTCCACTTGTCAGCTCACTCTTGCAGCGGGGAATTAGTGGCCCTTGTTTATTGACTGCCCCGTTTGCAGTTAACGACGGCGATGAAAATGTGCGCTTGCATTTACGAGCAGTTTACAACACAAAGGAAAGCGGAAGTAAGACGGTGAACCCGGTCATGGTTTCACTGAGCAATCGCTCCGCTTAACGACCGAGTTCCCGGCCCCAATCATGGTCACTAAACGAGCCCTTTAAATACTTGCAGTGCTTAGCAGCAGATGCTAATTCTGCGTTTTGAATCTGCCACAAACGGCTCTGATTTCACATCTTTGGCTTCTCTCTAGTAAAGAAACGAAATTAGAACATCCCTATTTTCTCTGTGTAAAGCAGGGGTCGGCAACCTTAAACAGGGTCAGATCCTTATACGGAGGATCCCGGACCTACGCGCTTTCCGCCGTGCCATCAAAACATTTCTATTTCAGCAGGCCGGCCTGGCCTAACCTCTCTTTTAAATTGTTTTTAAAATTCTTTAAAATTTTTAAATTTTAAACATGTCTTATGAACTTGGGGTGTTTTAAATTTCATTTTCCGGGCCAATTATCTAATTGTATTTTAATGGTTTTTTAAACATTTATATTATATGTATTTTATTCGGCTGTTCACCACCCTGAGTCCTTTGGGAGTAGAGCGGTATACAAATTCAATAATAATAATAATAATAATAATAATAATAATAATAATAATAATAATAATGACTACCTACAACGCCATGACCGTGTTGCTAAAATCATTCACTGGAAATTGTGCCAGAAGTTTGGATTTGAGTACAGCAAAAACCACTGGGAACATCAGGTTGAGAAAGTTTTAGAGAATAAGAAACTCAAGATCTTGTGGGACTTTAGGATTCAGACTGACAGGCACTTGGTCCACAACACACCTGACATAACCATAGTTGAAAAGAAAAAAGTATGGTTCATTGACATTGCAATACCTGGTGATGCACGGATTGAAGATAAGCAGCAAGAAAAAATCACAAAGTACCGGGACTTGCAAATTGAAGTTGAGCGACTGTGGAAAAAGAAATCGTGTGTTGTCCCGATTGTAATTGGAGCCCTCGGAGCAATACCCAAAGGGCTACCCCGCTATTTAGAAATTCTAAATTTTACCGGACTTGAACATTTTGACTCTCCAAAAAACCACCTTACTCGGAACAGCTTACATCCTCCGACGATACCTTAACAGTTCCTAGGTCCTTGGTTAGGACTCGAGCTGCTGAGCTATTAACCAGCCTCAAAGGCTGTGAATCTCACTAAAGATTAACTAATAATAATAATTGTAATTGTAATTGTAATTGGAGCCCTTGGAGCAATACCCAAAGGGCTACCCCGCTATTTAGAAATTCTAAATTTGCCGGACTTGAACATTTTGACTCTCCAAAAAACCACCTTACTCGGAACAGCTTACATCCTCCGACGATACCTTAACAGTTCCTAGGTCCTTGGTTAGGACTCGAGCTGCTGAGCTATTAACCAGCCTCAAAGGCTGTGAATCTCACTAAAGATTAACTAATAATAATAATTGTAATTGTAATTGTAATTGTAATTGGAGCCCTTGGAGCAATACCCAAAGGGCTACCCCGCTATTTAGAAATTCTAAATTTGCCGGACTTGAACATTTTGACTCTCCAAAAAACCACTTTACTCAGAACAGCTTACATCCTCCGACGATACCTTAACAGTTCCTAGGTCCTTGGTTAGGACTTGAGCTGCTGAGCTATTAACCAGCCTCAAAGACTGTGAATCTCACTAAAGATTAACAATAATAATAATAATAAACACTCGAAGAGCTGTTTGGACCCGTTTCCCACAGAAAAGAAAACACCGGGAGCCACAAAACCCTTTTGACATCTAAAATGAAGATAACACTGCATATATCGTTCTTTACCTTTATGCTCTGTATAAAAAAACTATAGTGTGTTGCATTTATGAAATCAATGATCTCCTTCAGAGAAAACAAATTTGTATTTCTCTGTGCAACAAAACTCCGGAAAAAAAAAAAAGATGGGTCGAAAAGCTCAATAAATCACGTGCCAGGCGGGTGTCGCACATTGGCGGTTATGACTCATATTTTGAGCGACAGGGAGCCGCAGCGGAGGGATGAAAGAGCCACATGCGGCTCCAGAGCCCCAGGTTGCCGACCCCTGATATAAAGATTACTGGACTTATTTTTTTTCCAAATATCAGCATAGTCACTTTGGATTGGGATAAAAACTCTGCTTAACAACTAATTCCCACAACACTGACAGTGTTGTGGGAATTAGTTGTTAAGCAGAGTTTTTATCCCAATAATTTACTGTATTACTATTATTCTTCTCTTCCTTACTAGTATCTATCTCTTCCCACTTATGACTATAACCATGTTGCTTGTATCTTTAAATTTATATTGTTTTTATTTGTTTCCTAGTATGATTTGATAGCTTATTAGTAACCTATGACTATCACTAAGTGTTGTATCTTTTTATTCTTGAAGAATGTATTTTATTCTCCTTATGTACACTCAGAGCATATGCACCAAAGACAAATTCCTTGTGTGTCCAATCACACTTGGCCAATAAAGAATAAAGAAAGAGAATAAAGAAAACATCAGCCTCTTCAGTTCTTCCATTCAGACAATAATATAAAAGGAGTGTCTCCTTTTTTCTGGAATTCCCAGTTTTCCTGACAAAAAATCTTCAGCTCTAGGATCGCCCAGTGGCCTCCTGACCCTGCTTAGTTTCTCAGAGGCAAGGGAGGGAATCTTCAAGACTCTCAAAGAGCTTAAGAAAAGCAGATCTTTACTGTTTTCCCTACAGAAGGCTTAAGGGATGTGGTGACTCAGTGGCTAAGACGCTGAGCTTGTCGATCGAAAGGTCGGCAGTTCAGCGGTTCGAATCCCTAGTGCCCTGGAATGGGGTGAGCTCCCGTGACTTATCCAGGCTTCTGCCAACCTAGCAGTTCGAAAGCACGTTAAAAAAAAATGCAAGTAGAAAAATAGGGACCACCTTTGGTGGGAAAGGAATGGCATTCCGTGCGCCTTTGGCGTTGAGTCATGCCGGCCACATGGCCACGGAGACGTCTTTGGACAGCGCTGGCTCTTCGGCTTTGAAACGGAGATGAGCACCGCCCCCTAGAGTCGGGAACGACCAGCACATATGTCCGAGGGGTACCTTTACCTTTACAGCCTTGGGATGCCCCGTTAGCCATCCCATCTTCTCCCCTTTCTTAGCTCTTGTCTCTTTCTTGGCTTCCTTCTCCGCAGTCCTTGATAGCAAAGCAATAGATCTTATGAATGCCTTGATGCGGCTGAATCAGATCCGGCCCGGCTTGCAATATAAGCTGCTCTCTCAATCGGGGCCCGTCCATGCCCCGGTCTTCACCATGTCGGTCGACGTGGACGGGACGACCTACGAAGCCTCAGGACCTTCTAAGAAGACGGCCAAGCTTCACGTCGCCGTAAAGGTGAGCCAAGCATCTCTCGGCTAGCTCTCTCGGATGTCTGTCGTGTAAGGAAGGGTTGGGGCTCGGGAATGGGTGGGCTTCCTGGGCCGAATGAAAACTTGTCTCCTGATAATGCCAATCTATACAGGTGTTACAAGCGATGGGTTACCCCACCGGCTTCGATGCGGACATGGAATGCACGAGCTCCGATGAGAAGTCGGACACAGAAGGCAAAAACGAGACGGTCTCTTCAACCACGAGCAATAATAATGGAAATGCCACAGTTGATACCTCTGCAACCTTAGAAGTGCGTCTTCTTTCTCCTTCCTCTCATTCTCCTTCCTTCCTTCCTTCCTTCCGCTCATTCTCATCTTCCTTCCTCCTCTCATTCTCTCCTTCCTTCCTCCCTCCCTCTCATCTCCTTCCTTTCTCCTCTCATTCTTTCCTTCCTTCCTTCTTCTCATTCTCATCTCCTTCCTTTCTCCTCTCATTCTCTCCTTCCTTCCTTCCTTCCTCTCATTTTCATCTCCTTCCTTCCTCCTCATTCTCTCCTTCCTTCCCTTCCTCTCATTTTCCTCTCTTTTTTTCCTCCTCTCATTCTCTCCTTCCTTCCTTCCTCTCATTCTCATCTCCTTCCTTCCTCCTCTTATTCTCTCCTTCCTTCCTTCCTCTCATCCTCATCTCCTTCCTTCCTCTCATTCTCATCCTTCCTTCCTTCCTCTCATTTTCATCTCCTTCCTTCCTTCCTTCCTCTCATTTTATCTCCTTTTTCCTCCTCTCATTCTCTCCTTCCTTTCTCTCATCCTCATCTCCTTCTTTCCTCTCATTCTCATCCTTCCTTCCTTCCTTTCATTCTCATCTTCCTTCCTTCGTTCCTTCCTTCCTCTCATTTTCATCTCCTTCCTTTCTCCTCTCATTCTCATCCTTCCTTCCTTCCTTCCTCTCATTCTCATCTTCCTTCATTCCTTCCTTCCTCTCATTCTCATCCTTCCTTCCTTCCTTCCTTTCATTCTCATCTTCCTTCCTTCCTCTCATTTTCATCTCCTTCCTTCCTCCTCTCATTCTCTCCTTCCTTCCTTCCTCTCATTTTATCTCCTTTTTTCCTCCTCTCATTCTCTCCTTCCTTCCTTCCTCTCATCTCCTTCCTTTCTCCTCTCATTCTCTCCTTCCTTCCTTTCTCTCATCCTCATCTCCTTCCTTCCTCTCATTCTCTTCCTTCCTTCCTCTCATTCTCATTTCCTTCCTTCCTTCCTCTCATTTTATCTCCTTTTTTCCTCCTCTCATTCTCTCCTTCCTTCCTTCCTCTTTCTCATCTCCTTCCTTCCTCCTCTTATTCTCTCCTTCCTTCCTTCCTCTCATTCTCATCCTTCCTTCCTTCCTTCCTTTCATTCTCATCCTTCCTTCCTTCCTTTCATTCTCATCTTCCTTCCTTCCTTCCTTCCTCTCATTCTCATCTCCTTCCTTCCCTCCTTCCTTCCTCTCATTTTCATCTCCTTCCTTCCTCCTCTCATTCTCTCATTCCTTCCTTCCTTCCTCTCATCTCCCTCCCTCCCTGCCTCCCTCTTTGCATTTCTTGTTTATTCTCTTACGAGATCGAAAAGTTTTTCCTTTTTTTCTTCTTCTTCTTCAAAAATACGGAGTCAGGAGAGAAAGCACAGAAAGACCATGACGCCTCTTTAGGCACCAACGATCGAAACTCTCAAAACGGTGTGTTTCGTTTCTCCACGGCCTTCACGGCCTTCACCCAAGGCTGTTAACGGTAGGCAGAGGGTTGTTTATTGCTCCCGCCTCTTTCTGCCATTCTCTTTTTCTTCTCCCTTTTCAACAAAAAAAAGAAGAAGAAGAAGAAATAAGATGAAGCCGGGGCTAGGTAGGACCAAAATGATTTCATCCACCTTAAGAGTTTGCCTGCGGCGGTTTCGGTGGCTCCAGGCTGGCCAGTTACATGATCTTCCCCTTGCTCAGCATCAGAGCAGGCGCCTTGGAGTAACTGGAAACTTTGGCCTCGAGTATTTCTGGCCCAGGAGGGGGGAAGATGCCAAATTATGCAGGCATGGGGACAGCAGCCGTGAAGGAGCAGCAGGCACACAGTTCCCCCAACCGGGAGGAAGTCTCCTGTGCCTCCGGTTGCCATTTCCTGAAAATACGTGGGAGTGGGGGGAGGGCAGGGGGAATCGGGTATGAAAACACGCGGGAGCGAAAGATTCGTAGGGATGAAGCCACCGGCAGAACCATCTGCCTCCCCTTCTTGTAATGAATTTGTGCCAGAGTGGTTTCTGTTCTGCTGATAAGAGGGATCTGGAGCTGCTCCTTCCTTCCTTCCTTTCTCTTCTCCACTTGTCTATCCGTCCATCTCTTGATCGTCTCTATTCGCCTGTCTTCCTTCATTCTGTTTATATATCTTCCCTTTCTGTTTATCTATCCAGATCTCTCTTCCCCCCCTCTCTTTCTCTCTCTGCTTCTCTGTCTCTTCCCTCTATCCATATTCCATTCCATTCCATTCCTTCCTTCCTTTCTTCCATCCATCCAATTATTGCTGTATCTCTCCTTCCCTCTCTCTCTCTCCCCCTATATCTGTCTCTGTCTGTCTGTCTGTCTGTCTGTCTGTCTACCTACCTACCCTCCCTTTCATCCATCCATCCATCCATCCATCCATTTATCTACCAACCACATAGCTATCTATCTATCTATCCTGTCATCTATCCATCCAACCATCCATCTATCTACCAACATACCTACCTACCTATATATATATATATATCTACCAGCATCCGTACCTACCTATCTACCTACCTACCCTTTCACCTATCTATCCATCCATCCATCCATCCACCTGCCTACCCACCTACCCTTTCATCCATCCATCCATCTATCTACCAACCTACCTACCTATCTACCTATCTATCCTTTCATCCATCCATCCATCCCATCCATTTATCTACCAACACCTACCTACCTATCTACCTATCTATCCTTTCATCCATCCATCCATCTACCAACATACCTACCTACCTACGTATATATATATATACCAACAAGATATAAGAGCCTGCAAGAGCCTGGTGGCGCAGCAGACTAATAGCCTGTTACTAACATTCAGCTGCCTGCAATTACTGCAAGTTTGAATCTCGCCAGGCTCAAGGTCGACTCAGCCTTCCATCCTTTCTAAGGTAGGTGAATTGAGGACCCAGTTTGTGGGGGCAATAAGCTGACTTTGTATAAATATACAAAAGTATGAAGGCTATTGCTTAACGCATTGTAAACCGCCCTGAGTCTCTGGAGAAGGGCGGCATATAAATCAAATTTAAAAAAAAAAAAAAAACAACGTACCTACGTATCTACCTACCTACCCTTTCATCTATCTATCCATCCATCCATCGATCTACCAACATACCTACCTACCCACCTACCTACCCTTTCATCCATCCATCTACCTACCGACCGACCTACCTACCTACCCTTTCATCCATCCATCCATCCATCCATCTATCTGTCTATCTATCTACCAACAAACCTACCTATCTACCTCCCTCCCTTCTGATTCACACCAATTGGTGGGAGAAGAGAACCATCCTTCTCCCCAAACGTTGCACGGGATGAAACTGAGGGCCCTGGTGGCCCCTGGCCCTCCCCTCAAGCCCCCTATGCTTCTCCTAGGTCCGAACTCAGGGTCCCATCCTCACAGCCAGCGGCAAGAATCCGGTAATGGAGCTCAACGAAAAGCGGCGAGGCCTGAAATACGAGCTCATCTCCGAGACGGGCGGAAGCCATGACAAGCGCTTTGTGATGGAGGTGAGGAGGGTCTCCACCCCCCACCCCCACGGCTTGGGACTTCCTCGGGGAGGGGGCTCACACCCAGCCAGGGTGCCAATTACCAATTTCGCTTCCAGGTAGAAGTCGACGGGCAGAGGTTCCGAGGGGCTGGCCCCAACAAAAAAGTAGCCAAGGCCAGTGCTGCCTTGGCGGCTCTCGAGAAGCTCTTTTCAGGCCCCAACGCGGCTGCCAATAAGAAGAAAAAGATTCTCCCACAGGTGAGCGGGAAGGGACTGCACCAGATGGACCTGAGTCCCTGTGCAAGCTTCTGAAGTCAGCAGAAACCCAGAAGAATTGGGGGGGAGGCGGGAAGAATTTTGGGGTGGAGAAGAAGGGAGGGAAGTTGAGTGGTGCGGTAGCCTAGAGGTAGAGCTCTCACCTCACTTTCAGGAGGCTGTGAGTTCGATCCTAGGTAGAGACAGATATTTCTCTCTCTGGGACACATTGAGACTATGTCTGCTGAATAGAACTCCGCATTGGCGACCTGGAAGGGCATCCGGCCAGTAAAACACTCGGCTCCATTCAGTTGCCCAGACTTCACCCTGTAAGGGATTATGGGATTGTTAAAAGGGGATGATGAAGAAGGGAGGGAAGTAGATCCAGCTGGGGGGGATTGAGGAAGGGGTTTGAGCAGAGCCAGAGAGGACAAATTGTGCCCCTTCATGACAGCTTCTTGGGGAAGAGAAAGCCATCTTCAGATGTCATGCAGAAGGCACCTAGAACATGGTCCTTAGTTCTCTTATCCTTGGCCACCAAATAGGACCGAGCTGGTCTCCTCTGCTCTTGAAGAATCTCGTTCTTCTGATCTGCAGCCCGATCGGTCCCTTCAATCGGTCTTGACCCCTCCCCCCCCCTGTCCCCAGGACCAGAATCCCCCTTTGAAGATTTACAAAACGAAAGGAAGGGAGTCAACAGCAGCTGTGCCCTTTCTTGGTTGGGGTTCATCCTTCTCCGCCTCTCTCCACAGACCAAAGGAGGGATCGTAAACACAGCCATGTCTGCGGCGGCGCGAGGAAGAGGACGAGGGTCTCCCATGCGGGGGGCGTTTGTCGGGGCAGCAGCGGCCACCAGTTACCTGGCACCAGGTAGAACCCGCTCGGGTTGTCCTGTGGTTGTAAGAGGGGAATGATAAGCCCTACCATGAGGTTGACCTTCCAGGGGCGAATCATCATGGATGGTCCATATCTTCTGCTTAGATCTTTTAGAGAGCTGAAGTCCCATTTTTAATTAAATTGAGGTGCTCAAATTACTCTGATCACCACCCCCAGGTCTTTCCAGCATGTGGACTTCTGTGCAATAGTCACAACCCTCAGGTCTCTTCTTACATGAGGGAGTCCACACCACTGGTGAAATTCAAAAATTTTCCCTACCGGTTCTGTAGGTGTGGCTTGGGGGTGGTGTCAGGTGACTGGGTGCGCGTGGCCAATTTTTTTTATATATACTTTTTTTAATAGCATTTTTTCACTAAAAAAAGTTTTTAAAAAGTTCCGACAATCAGCTGTGACAATCAGCTGTGCCCGCGATTGTCGGAACTTTTTTTGTACTTTTTTAAAATATTTTTTTACTACCGGTTTGGGCGAATAGGTAGTAAAAAATGCTTAAGAAAAGTAAATAAAAAAAAAAAAAAGTTCTGACAATCAGCTGTGACAATCAGCTGTGCCCGTGATTGTCGGAACTTTTTTTGTACTTTTTTAAAGTATTTTTTTACTACCGGTTTGGGCAAATAGGTAGTAAAAAATGCTTAAGAAAAGTAAAAAAAAAAAAAAAAAAAAAAGACAATCAGCTGTGACAATCAGCTGATCACGGATCATCGGAACATTTTTTTTTTTTACTTTTTTAAAGCATTTTTTACTACCGGTTCTGGCGAACCGGTCCGAATCATAACATTTCACCCCTGATCCACCCCTGTTCTTGGAAAACAATGCAATTTTGAGGAGCTGACGGCCTCCTTCATACTTTATTCCATCCAATGTGTTGGATGGATGGTGTTGGGAACTGCTGAATGCTTTATGCCAGAGGTGTCAAACTCGATTTCATTGAGGGCCGCGTCAGGGCTGTGTTTGACCTTGGAGGGCCCGTGGGGGGGGGAGGCATGGCGAGCTCGACGTCACTCATGTCGGGAGCGCCTGTGGTGACCCAAGCGCTCTGCCAGTGAAAACGGGCTCCCGAGCTCCGCTTTTGACTGCAACGGCCTCCTGCAACCCTCTGCCAGTGTGGTCATTCAGCAAATCTTTACATGACCGGACTTGATTTTTCAACATATTTACAGTGTTCATTCAATGAATCATACATATTTAAGTGAATCTGGTTTCTCCCTTGAACTTTGCTGGTTGAAAGCTTGGCTAAGATGCTGCTAGCGTTGTAAAATATCACCGGCGGGCATCTCTGCTATGCTCGTTTTGTCCTCCGTGCCCACCCGGGAGGACCTGTCACCGTGTCTTGTCTGCTTCCCTTGCAGGGTACGCGGCACCGTACGGATACAACGCGGCAGCTGCCGCTGCACCGGCTTACGGTACGTCCTTCCCTTTCCCTTGTCTACGTGTATCTTCCCCATTCTCAGGCCAGCTTTTTTGGGGGGGGTGGATCGGTGAGGCAAAGTAGGGTTCTCTCTGGATGGCCATCAGCCAAGCTGCTCTTCTCGCTGTGGCTTGTTCCTCCTGGTTTGCTTCTGCCTGACCGCAAAAGAGCTGCTTGCCCTTAACTGCCTGCTCCCTCGTCCGCCGTGCCAGAACCCATAGAACTGTCCCCCTCCTGCCTTCTGAACGGCCATTTTGTGCTCCATTCAAAGCTGCTCAAAGGGCCAAATCTTCCTCCTATCTCAGAGTTCACTCAAAAGATTCCTTTATTAGGAGTGTCGGCAGCTCCGGCGAAAAGTTTCTCTCTCACCGCAGGCTAACAAGGCCGCCTGGCCGGGAGATGAATAGTTGTCTGCCACACCTATTCATCTCTGCCCCCTGCCTTTTATCCCCAGAGCTAGGGTGGGGATTCATTAACAGCGGTGGCTCTTCTGTCCCAAGAACCGGCCCATAGATTTCCACTGCTCTGCTCTCCTCTGCCTTCTGCTCATCCGTGCATCAGGCACTGGACCCAGCTGTTCCTCCTCCTCCTCATCAGCCACCTCCAGACCTGGGAACTGTTGACTCTCCATCTGAGGGCTGACGGACGGCCCAGGCTCCGCCTCTGTCTCTCTCTCTCTCTCTCTCTGCTAGCTCCATTCCCTCTTCCCCCTCAGAGCTCTCATTTGCCTTGATGCTGATCCTGACTCCCAAACCTCCTCCTCCTCCTCCTCCTCTGATACGGCTGATGGAGGGGCTGGCGGCTGATAGGCCACAACAGTTGGCTTCTCTTCCGCCTCCCCTCCGTGGTCCTCTCTTCTGGCTTGCCAAGGGCTGGGTCACCTCTTGGGGTCAGGTTCTGAGATATTGTAGGCCCGTGATGGCGAACCTATGGCACGCATGCCAGAGGGGGCACGAGCCCTCTCTGTGGGCACGTGTGCCGTTGCCAGCTGCTCTTCTGATTTCTGGCCAGCTGGTCTTCGCGGGTGCCAGAGCACCGGAAAATGGCCTGTAAACGGATGATAAACAGGCCATTTTCTGGGTCATTTTCAGGCCGTTTTTCGGGCTGTTTTCAGGCCGAAATTAAACGAATTGTTGTAAGTCGAGGACTACCTGTCCTGACTCCGCCACTCTTGGAAAATCCACCCGTAGTCATGACCAAGAGCTCCCCCCTCCCCCCACATCACTTTTCCCTCCCCAAGCCAGGGGAGCCAACAGGCGCTGCTAAGATCTACGCTTCCCTCCCCAACCTCAACAGATCTTTGACGGCGACCTTCCTGACAGCCCTCGATTTTTTTAAAAAAAAAAAGTCCTGACTTTGAATCATTGGGAGGGGGGAAAAAAACGAAACAAACAAAAACAAACAAAAAGAATTGGCTCGTTGAGGACTTTGAATGTAGTTTTATGCAGCAAAGAGGGAAAACGCCTTTGGAGTCAGCGATGGCCGTGCTCTTGCCTTCCTTTGAGTAGCCGGACGCTTTGGTGGATCCATGGGAGAACTGGGAGCTGCCCGTTGCGTCCCTGCATGATTTCCTGGCCCACTTCCCGTCTGCCTTTTGCAGGGGATTGGGCCATGTTTGTTCACGGAAGCACACCGACAGCGTTGCCGAATTCTTCTGGCGGAGAAGCTCTTGAATCTCTCTCTTCTTGGAAGGGAGGTCCTTAGCCCGCGGAGGTTGGGGGGGGCTGCTTTGCACCCCGCAAACCTTAACTCCCAATTTCTATAGCAGTCTAGGTCGCCTTGCCAGTTGTCCTGGGCTGGATATGGCGCTTAATCTTGCCAACTTCCCTCAGGAAGAAATAAAACACGCTCTGCAGAAAAAGCGTTCGGATGGGAAGGATGGACTTTTAGGGGGCAGGCGGCTGAGTCGAGATCGACTCGTCCTTCCGAGGTGGGTTAAAAATGAGGAGCCAGATTCTTGGGGGCAAGAGGCTGACTCTGTAAACCGCTCAGAGAGAGGGCTGTAAAAGCACTGTGAAGCAGTATACAAGTCTTAAGTGCTATTGCTACTTTTTAAATTTTAGCAACGGGTTCTCTGCCCGGTTGCTGGATGGGCGTGGCCATGGTGGGTGTGGCCTAGTCAGCATCCTGCACCATGGTGGGGCGTTTTTGCCCTCCCCGGGCTCTGGAGGCTTTTCTCGAGTCTCCAGAAGGGCAAAAACGGCCTCCCCAGGCTCTGGAGGCTGGAAATGGGCACGAACTTCCGATAGGCCCATTTTTCTCCCTCCCCGAGCCTCCACGTGCGCCCTGCACTTACCTACATCCAAAATGGGCCGAGTGGGGACTCCTGGGAGAGGCAGGGCAGGGCGGGTGGTGCCAGCCAGGAGTGGGATTTGGGGGTTCTCCGAGCTGCACAGAATCTTAGCTAGAGGTTCTCCCGAACCCTTACGAACCCAACCCTGAATAAGACCCATTTAGTGTCCACGTTGCAAAAGATGATGCTGATTTAGAACTTCCAAACTACCCCATAGCCGTCCTCCAGCCCTCAGGAGTTTGCGGTGTCCCCAACTCGTGCAACATTGGGGGTGGGTGGGGGTAACACCTCAAAACGGCCAGAAGTCCAACTTTGGGAGGTGGGGGGGGTTGGGGAGGGCTGACAGGCAACTGTTTTCCTCTCCTGCTTACTCGAGCGGTCCATGGCTGACTCCCAACAGGCTTACGCAGAGAATAGCTGCCCTCCTTTTCGGCATAAACATTTCTCACGGGCTCCCTTCGTTGGCTTTGTTTCTGTCCTTTGGAAATGTCTGGTTGGTTGGTTGGTTTGTCGCTTGGTTGTGGTGCTGAGTTTTTGGGGGGCCGCGGCACTGCCCCTGATTTTGCGAAACCCTCCCTTCCTTTTTTCTCTCTCTCTCTCTCTTCTCTTCTCTGCCTGCGTGAAGCTGTTTGCATGCTGGAAACAAAAAATATATATAATTTCACTCGGACCATTGTCGCTCCTCTTGGAAAACCTGCTGTTGCTGCTTTCTGATTTCTAAAAAAAAAACCCGGACACGATAGTTTTGGGGGGGGGGGGGGGGGTGAAACGATTCAGAGAGATCGTCCGACAGGGAAAACCTTCTCGTTTTGGTACTTAAAACCAAACCCGAGCATCTCCCAAAGATACTCGCGAGGCCACAAGAATTTAAAAAAAAAAAAAACTAGGCCAAGAAATACCTTCAAAACAACTTGCCCACCCTCCCTCCCTTCTCTTCCTGCACCTGATCGTCCAAGGAAAGAATCGGCCAATCCGGGTTGGAAGCCAGGCTGTGCCATATGGACAGGGGTGGGCTTCAAAAATTTTAGCAAGGGGTTCTCTGCCTAGTTGCTGGATGGGCGTGGCCTAGTCGGCCTCCTGCACGACGGTGGGATGTGTTGCCCTCCCCGGGCTCCGGAGGCTTTTCTCCAGCCTCCGGGAGGGTGAAAACGGCCTCCTCAGGCTCCGGAGGCCAGAAAAACAGGCCTGTTTCCGGCCTTCCCAAACTTCCGGTAGGCCCGTTTTTTGCTCTCCCCAAGCCTCCACGCGCGCCCTGCATTTACCCGCATATCAAAATGGGCCGCGTGGGGACTCCTGGGGTGGGCGGGGCCAGCCAGGAGTGGGATTTGGGGATTCTCCAAACTGCACAGAATCTTAGCTAGAGGTTCTCCCGAACCCCTGCGAATCCCTCAGCAGCAATAGTGAGTTTGCTTGTCCGCAGCGCTGGATCAAGACTTGGTGGGACCTGCCAAGCTCTTGAAATTGGTAGCTCTTGTAGGATCCCTTTCCCGGCGAGAAGTCCGTTGGGAAGGGATGGACCTCTCTGGTTTTTGGGATTGGTGGTGGAGGGTGACTTACTTTGACCCACAGACCCATCTGTCTGTCTGATGTCGGGATGAATTAGGAGACCAAATCCGTTTGCTTTCTTCCTCCTCCTCCTTCTAGCTTACCTTTTTTCGGATACTTAGATTTATCCAAGTGCTTTCGGTTTCTTCCTTCCATAGGTCTGCCCAAGAGAATGCTCCTGTTGCCAGTTATGAAATTCCCAACTTTTCCAATGCCCCATTATTCGTTCTTTTAGCCTTCGGCTGAGACCGACTCACTCTCTTGACCGGCTTCCATAAACCCAAGACAGGATGTTAGAAGGAAATGAGAAACAGAACACTCAGCTAGCCAAACAACCTACCTTTTTAATCCTGGTTTTCCTTGGAAACGCGACACACTTGAGCAAAAACCATTTGTAAAAAAAAAGATCCATCTTTTTTTCCACCTTTTTTTTAATTTTAATTTTATTTTAAACAAAACGCAAACTTAATTCATTCTCTCTTAAAAACTTGAAGAAAAGGAAAAAAAACCCCAACGTACATGAAACTATGGTCTGTGAAAATGGTTACCTCATTTTTTTTTTCCTCCCCTTCACCTCCAAAATAACTTATATTATATCAACCTTCTGTGATAGGGAAGAAACTTAGATGCTTTGTTTTTAATCCGAATTATGTAAAACCTTAAAACTTGTGAAGGATGTATAGACTATAAAAAAAAAAAGCTGATCACAAAATAAAAACAGTTTTTGTTGTAATAGAGAGTTTTTTAACATATATTTTTTTTGCCTGTTTCCTAATACCAAGCCCTGAGCCCAAATTTTATAATTTTAGGATTACGTTGATGCAGTGTGTTTTTTGTTTTGGGATTCTTTTTGTGGTGTGTGTGTTTTTTTTAAAGAAACTGACGTGCCAATAAATTACCGTATTTTTCAGAGTATAAGATGTACTTTTCCCCCCCTAAAAGAGGGTGAAAATTTGGGTGTGTCTTATACACCGAATGTAATGCCCTCCGGCTCCCACCCTTTGGCCTCTGCCTCCCAGCAATTTGCCTCCTAACAGCAAACAGCCCATTTCAGTTTCAGCTTCAGCACAGCCTGATTAGCACAAGCAGCTGATTGTTGGTTGGATCGACCATCAGCTGTTTCAGGCTGCAGGGATTGCCTATTGCTGCCTCCACGTCGGGAGGCCGATCAATCAGCTGTTTGTGCTGTAACTGAAACGGGCTATTTGCTGCAAGGAGGCAAATTGCTGGGAGGCAGGTTTTTTTTTTTCTTGTGCTAATCAAGCTGTGCTGAAAATGAAACTGAAACAGGCTGTTTGCTGCAAGGAGGCAAATTGCTGGGAGGCAGAGGCAGAGGCAAATTTTTTTCTTCTTGTTTTCCTCCCCCAAAAAGGTAGGTGCGTCTTATACTCAGGAGTGTCTTATACTTTGAAAAATACGGTACTATTTAAGAAACAAAAGGAAGCTAAGGGTTAGTTTTATAATCAAGGAAGTTTGCCTTAAGGTTAGCAGTGCATAAGGCCTGGGGGGGGAGGGTCTTTCCTACGACATCTGCCTCCAAATCAAGAATACGTCCCATGGCTTTCTCGGCACATATCTGGGATATGAGCCATGGTGGCGCAGTGGTTAGAGTGCAGTACTGCAGGCTACTTCTGCTGCCTACTAGCTGCCTGCAATTTGGCAGCTCAGATCTCACCAGGCTTAAGGTTGACTCAGCCTTCCATCCTTCCGAGGTGGGTAAATTGAGGACTCAGATTGTTGGGGGCAAGAAGCTGACTTTGTAAACTGCTTAGAGAGGGCTGTAAAAGCACTGTGAAGCGGTATATACCCTGTTTCCCCCAAAATAAGACATCCCCCGATAATAAGCCCAATCGGGCTTTTGCGCGCATGGCAATAAGGCCAAGCGCTTATTTCAGGGTTCAAAAAAATATAAGACAGGGTCTTATTTTCGGGAAAACACGGTAATAGCACGGTCTACGTGCTATTGCGATAAATAGGCACCTGTCCATCCATCCGTACCTGTGGCTTTTTCTCCGAAGTCCTTGGGAATCGTAGTTTTTATGTTGGGATTCTCCCAAGCAGCAGGCTTTTTCCACCCCACCCCACCCCCTTCTCCGTTCTGATTTCTTTTTGATTTGAAACCAAAAAAAAGTGCTTGAACCTTGTTGAGAGTTTCTGTTCATTAGTTGCCAAATTTTTATGAAAGCTGCTTTGCGCTAAGCCGGCCAGACTATTCGGGGAAACCCGTTACGGAGATCAAAGACGACCATTAGCTTGTTTGGTGTAAACGCAGGGATTCCAATTTTTAAAAAAAGGAAATTAGACTTTTTCGTTCCAAAGCTGTTAAAAGAAACCCACCTCGAGTAGATCAAAACGGTTCTTGTGGCCTCTTTTTTAATAGCCCGTCGATGCGTTTTCTCCCCATCCCGCTGGGGCTTAAAATAAAAACTACGATGGTTCCTTTTCTTGGCAGCCCTTGCTCAATTCTAAGAATCTGAAGCAGCAACAGCCCCCCCACCCCCCATGAAAACTCGCTATTTTAATTGTCTGGTCTCGTCCAGCACTGCTGTGAAATAGTTCAGTGTTTCAGCCATAGGCCGGTATTGTGCCTCGAATTTCTGTACCCCAAAAACGCTCATCGTTCATGCGGCTGGGCACCCCTGCACATATCTTTACTTTCTTCCCAGGGATCTCCTGCTCTCCTTGGGGGGAGCCCTCCCGAAATTAGGGGCCCGTGAACGAGGAAAGGACGGTTGGGTTATTAAGGCATCACCTCCCCACCCGAACGCAAAGCGACCCCGTTGGCTCTTTTCAAAATTTGCCCATCTGTGGTCCTCTCCCCTTTTCAAAGCATGTTGACCTTCCAAAGATGCGATGGACAGACCTTCTGGGCGGGGAGGAAGGGAGGGTGGAAAAATGGGAGGGAGGAGAGATGGAGATGAGAGGACCGGTCCTTGCGGTCGGAGAACCTCAGAGCCGAAAGAAAAGAAACGACAGCTGATTTTGGAAAGGAGAAAGGAAGACCGCAGCCCAGGCTGCCCAGTGATGGCTGTGCTTCTCGGAATGTGCTCCTTCCGTTTTATTGTCCCCGTCCTTCTTGGTGGTGTAACACTCCTTTTCCCTTGTTGTTCGGGGTGGTGATGCTTTAATCCATCCTGGGAATCCTTTGCCGGTCAGCGCAGCGACCACCCCTTTTGTGGGTGTTATGCCTTCCTACCCTCTACCAGGGAGGGTAGAGATCCTAATCCTCCTTGGGGTGGTTGTCTTTCCCACGAGGGGGGGACGGGACGGGACGGACACAGCATTGGTGAAAACACAGACTGCCTGCTGGCCTATGGATGAAAAAGGCGCCATCACAGAGCTTGGAAAAGCACGGCGATCGATCGGAGGATCGACCGGATCTGTTTCGTTCCCTGCAAATTGGCGGACGGATCGATTCCTTGGAGGGGGGTGGCCCGTTCTGTGAGAAGGCCACCAAATTCTTCCCCGCCCACCTTTATAATGGATCCCTTCCCCAGGTCCCAAAGTTCTGGAGAAGTTTGTCTTCCTGGGTGTGGGCCTCTCACGGTTAGCCGGTTGGGCTCTCTCGAGCGCTCTGCTTTTTTTCCAACGCAATGGCCGTCATATCCAACAATCGATATGAAGTCATTTTTTTTTCTTCCCCCATCCCCCTCTCCATTTATTTATTTTGATTGATTGACTGATTGATTTCTCATGTTGGGAGCTTACTAACAACATTGTAAGTTGCTGCATATTTTACACTACTCTGCTTTACTGTTGGGGGGTGAGAAACTAACCCATTCCTAAGTTACCTTAGTTGTGGGATTTTTTGTGTTTGTGTGTGTTTGAGATCCAGAACAATCTTTGCCTAGAAAAATAAAGAGGGGGGCGAGGGCATTTGGGAAGTGGCTAAGAACTACATTTCCCACGCACCCTGTTGTTGCAATGGAAACTCCACCCACAGCTGGAAAGAGCAGAGAAATTGAAGGGGTGCTGTCCTGTGTTTTTTTTTTAATAAAATTAACCTTCCTTTTTTCCCCTTCTTCTTCTTTCCCCCCCTTGTCTTGCCTCTCTGCTCTTCCCTGTGCTGTAGGTGGCTGTTTCATTGACAGTCCTTACTGCCAACCATTTGACGTGACGCCTTTTATAATTCACTTGGGGCCTCAGGAATTCTTCTCTGACTTCTAGAGCAAAGAGGAGCTCCAAAGGGTGCTTTTTCCCACCCGAGAAATTTTCAAAAAGCAAGAGCTAACCGAGACTCCGGACGGGAAGGAGGGAGGGAGGGAGGGAAGGGCGGTTTGTATAGAATATTTTAAAATCCTCGGACTTCCTCCAGCATCCCAAAAGCAATAGGCCCCCTTCACCCCTCCCCCACCCCCCACCCCTTTGCTCTTGAAAAACCACAGCAATAGTTGTACGATAGACGGGCCTCTTTTTATGCTTTGCACTATGGATCAGGTCTTGGGGTTCAGCCGTAAGCCTCCCATCCACTTTGAATCTAGCTACCTTCGAACGCCCCTTATGAGCTCAGGAGGACCCGAGTGGATGTTTCTGGAGGCAGGCGGGGTGTTTTGGGGGGGACCGAAACAACCGTGAACGTTCCCAGCTGGTGGAAATCGCTTGAACGGCGGGCGTCCTGCGACTCGGAATTGCCCGAAGGATGCCCTCGAGTTGAGATGGTCATCTTGAGCGATGACGTCCAACCAGGAGATGGACTTAGGAAGCCCAACTTCCCCGAGAAAAAGCGAGATGAGGACATGGCCAGAAAGAAGGGGACCACTCAGAGCTCGCACCGACTTTGCAAAGGGGGGCGGTGGGCTCGGGAAAACCAGGAGAGTTCGTAGCAAGAAGATAGGGCAAATCTAGAAGGTGAAGTCCTCGTTGTGATGGGTTCCTTCGTTGACTCTGTGGGAGAAGTTGCCCCTGGATTGTGCCTTCACTACCAAAAGAGGGTAGACTTTCTACCCATGATTGTTTTCGAAGCAATTATGTTTTCCATTCCAACCCGGAGACATTTTAGGTGTAAAAATAAAACCGAAAGGTAGAAACCGTAAGCTGAAGTCACGGAGATTGTAAAGGGTAAAGCAGCTAAGCGCTATAGAGATTTATTTCTGTTCCTGCGTTTTGCTAACTCGCAACAACCTCTTCGTACTTCACGCCAGTTTTTTTTTTCTTCTCCGTGTCCTTCTCAATGAAATGTGATGTAAATATTTACGGGGACATGCTGGATTCTGAAAAAGGCTTCCTCAGATTTTTTGGGGGGTGGGTGTGGGGAGGGCCAGGGTGGGGTGTGTGGGGAGAATATATTTATTTATTGGGATAAAGACCAAACGGAGTTGTAATCTTGACTTTCCAACTGTTTATTAATCTGGGCAGGAATGTGTTTTATGAGGTGTAAAATGCAGAAGGTGGTGTGTTGCTCCAGGAATGTCTTGTTGAGTTAGGGGTAAAATACTACCGGTTCGCACCGGTTTGGGCAAACTGGTAGTAATAAAAATTACCGGTTCGAGGTGAACTGGTAGTTTAAAAAAAGCTACCAGTTCGTCTGAACTGGTATTTCCGACGATCAGCTGTGCCGTGCAATTTATATTCTAAATCGCGCCGCACAGCTCTTCCCTCCCCCCCTCACTGTTCTACTTACCTTCTTAAGCCTCCTTTTTCTGTGCGCAGTGTGCGTTCGGAGCGCATTACACATGCACGCACAGTGTGCGTTTGGCACACGGCGCACAATGCGCAGGCAAGAAATCAGTGGCAAACCGCAGAATATTTCACCACTGCGTAGGACTTAAGTTGTCTGAGTAGCATCCAGAATTGATTTTTCCAGACTTGGGTGCTTCTGCAGGCGGGCTGCCTGAATTCTCAGGTTTTGGAGATTTGGACCAGGGACAGGGAGTCAAGTTTGCATCAGTTGGTCCAGGATCTTCTTCTTGTTCTTGGTTCACGTTGGGGTGCCTTCTTCAACTAATGGAAGCAACGGTGGGAGGGAGAAAAGGTTGGTGGTGCCATCCGCGGTCCCTGCTGTCCAGCTGAACACCACAACGCGTTGTTAGCTTGAAGAACCGAAGAGGACAACCCATTTTATCTATGCTTCCAACTTAAGACGTTCATGTTTTCACTATCAATAATTAAAAATGGATCTCCCAAACTGTGATAGGCTGATCTTTTTTTTTCTTTCTTTCGAAGATCTACCTTCAAGTTTTAAAAAAAAAAAAATGGATGGACATCCGGCTGGTAAATAGAACCGATTAATTCTTGGGGTTGATTTGAAACTAATTAATTCTCAGGGCTGATTCTTTGAATGAGTCTTTTTAACGCCGCGTTGACAAGTGGCGGTTGAGAAAGAACTCTGGGGAAAGAGTAATAACACAGAAGGAGAGAGAGAGAGAGACCGGAGTGTCGGATTGGGGTTCAGGATTAAAATTTGGGAAGAATTTTACATCCAGGACAATACAGGTGAGTTTCTACTCATTCATTCATTCTATTCTATTCTATTCCTATTTCCATTCCATTCTGCATTCTCTTCTCTTCTATTTCTCTTCTACTCTATTCTATTTTCTGTTTTCTTCCATTCCATTCCATTCTTTCTTATTCTATTCTATTCTATTCCTATTCTATTCTATTCTACTCTATTCTATTTTTTATTCTATTCTACTCTTCTATTTTCTATTCTATTCCTATTCCATTCCATTCTGCATTCTCTTCTATTTCTCTTCTATTCTATTTCTATTCCTATTTCCATTCCATTCTGCATTATCTTCTCTATTTCTCTTCTACTCTATTCTATTTTCTTCTATTCCTATTCTATTCCATTCCATTCTTATTCTATTCTATTCTATTTTATTTTCATTCCATTCCATTCTGCATTCTCTTCTATTTCTATTCTATTCTATTCTATTCTATTCCTATTTCCATTCCATTCTGCATTCTCTTCTCTTCTATTTCTCTTCTACTCTATTCTATTTTCTTCTATTCCTATTCTATTCCATTCCATTCCATTCTTATTCTATTCTATTCTATTCCTATTCCATTCTATTCTATTCTACTCTATTCTATTTTTATTCTACTCTATTCTACTCTATTCTATTTTTTATTTTATTCTACTCTGTAGAATTCTATTCTATTTTCTATTCTATTCTATTCCTATTCTATTCCATTCCATTCCATTCTTTCTTATTCTATTCTATTCTCTTCTATTCTGTTTCCATTCCATTCCATTCTGCATTCTCTTCTCTTCTATTTCTATTCTACTCTACTCTATTTTCTTCTATTCCTATTCTATTCTATTCTATTCTATTTTTTATTGTATTCTATTTCTATTCCATTCTATTCTATTCTATTCTTTCTTATTCCATTCTATTCTATTCCTATTCCTATTTCCATTCCATTCTTTCTTATTCTATTCTACTCTGTTCTATTTTCTATTCTATTCCATTCCGTTCCGTTCCATTCTTTCTTATTCCATTCTATTCTATTCTGTTCCGTTCTGTTCCATTCTTTCTTATTCCATTCTATTCTATTCTACTCTACTCTACTCTACTCTACTCTATTCTATTCCTATTTCCATTCCATTCCATTCCATTCTGCATTCTCTTCTATTTCTATTCTACTCTATTCTATTTTCTATTTTCTTCCATTCCTATTCTATTCCATTCCATTCTTATTCTATTCTATTCCTATTCCCATTCTATTCTACTCTATTCTATTTTTTATTCTATTCTATTCTACTCTATTCTATTTTTTATTCTATTCTACTCTTCTATTTTCTATTCTATTCTATTCCTATTCCATTCCATTCTGCATTATCTTCTCTTCTATTTCTCTTCTACTCTATTCTATTTTCTTCTATTCCATTCCATTCTTATTCTATTCTACTCTATTCTATTTTTTATTCTATTCTATTCTACTCTATTCTATTTTTTATTTTATTCTACTCTGTAGAATTCTATTCTATTTTCTATTCTATTCCTATTCTATTTCATTCCATTCCATTCTTTCTTATTCTATTCTATTCTATTCTGTTTCCATTCCATTCCATTCTGCATTCTCTTCTATTTCTATTCTACTCTACTCTACTCTATTTTCTATTTTCTTCTATTCCTATTCTATTCTATTCTATTTTTTATTCTATTTCTATTCCATTCTATTCTACTCTATTCTATTTTTTATTCTATTCTATTCTACTCTGTTCTATTTTCTATTCTATTCCATTCCATTCTATTCTTTCTTATTCCATTCTATTCTATTCCTATTCCTATTCCTATTTCCATTCCATTCTGCATTCTTCTATTTCTCTTCTACTCTATTCTATTTTCTATTTTCTTCTATTCCTATTCTATTCCATTCCATTCTTATTCTATTCTATTCCTATTCTATTCTATTCTACTCTATTCTATTTTTTATTCTATTCCATTCCATTCTTTCTTACTCTATTCTATTCTATTCTACTCTGTTCTATTTTCTATTCTATTCTATTCCATTCCATTCTATTCTTTCTTATTCTATTCTACTCTATTCTATTCTATTCCTATTTCCATTCCGTTCCATTCTGCATTCTCTTCTCTTCTATTTCTATTCTACTCTCTTCTATTTTTTATTCTATTCTACTCTGTTCTACTCTGTTCTATTTTCTATTCTATTCCATTCTATTCCGTTCCATTCCATTCCATTCCTTCTTATTCTATTCTATTCTCTTGAACAAAACAGATGCAAGGCGGAGAATTTGGATGCCAGGCTTTGGAGGGTTTTCAACCATTTCTTGGCTCAAGATGGGAGGAATGATTAAGCTGGCACGGAGGGGGACTTAGGCATTGTGGGGACATCCGATGCCATTACGATCATCCATACCATCTCTATTTTCCCCGAAACCTGGCAGAGCTTCAACATTGGGCAAAACCAGGAAGGCAAGTGGTAGGGAGATGGCGTGCACTTCGGGGGGGGGGGGAGGGAATAACGACATCACCGCAATGTAGCATTACGTCACCCCGGTTTTTTCTCAACTCCGAGGAGGGCAAAAAAGCCAAGCTTTCCCAAGGAAGAACGGGGGATAGGGGCCACTTTAGAGGCGAAGGGATTGGAATGCATTGTGACGTCATCCTAAGACTTTTCTAACCCCAAATGGCAAAAAAAAAAACCCTCAGGGTTTTCCTAACTGGCAAAAGATTCAGGCTTCCCCCCCCCCCCAAAAAAAAGAAAAGATGATGTAATGCACTTTCTGCCTGGCACAGTGCCAGCTAGAACGACATAATGCTGCATTCCAATGATGTCGCCCCCAAAGTGCATTACATCATTTTTTTCTTTTATGGGGGAAAAAGCCTGAATTTTCTGCCTGGCACAGTGCCAGCTGGGGGCTGAGAAAAGACTAGGGCAGGGGATCTGCAACCTTTAACACTCAAAAGAGCCACAGAACCCTTTTCCCACAGAAAAGAAAACACCGGGAGCCACAAAAACCCTTCCCGTGCCTGACTTATTTCTTGAGCTGCCACAAAACTAGCATATGTGGTTGAATTAAACCTTCTGTTTTCTTCTGAAATTTTTCTTGGATTTATCCATGGTTGGCCTACCGGGGGTTGAAAAGCTCCATAAATCGTGTGCTGTGGGTGTCGCACATTGGCGGTTGTGACGCATATTTTGAGTGACGGAGCCACAGAAGAGGGGTGAAAGAGCCACATACGGCTCCAGAGCCACAGGGTGGCTGATCCCTGGACTAGAGCCAATGTCGCCTCCCCAAAGTGCATTACATCATCTTTTCTTTTAGGGGGAAAACCTGGATTTTCTTGCCTTTCTGCCTGGCACAGTGCCAGCAGATGACGTAATGCACTTTGAGGGGGTGGGCAACATCATTGGAGTGCAGCATTACGTCTTTTCTCAGCCCCTACGGCTGTGAAATTTGGACCATAAGGAAGGCTGAGCACCAAAGAATGGAGGCCTTTGAACTCTGGTGCTGGAGAAGACTCCTGTGAGTCCCTTGGACTGCAAGGCGATCCAACCGGTCAGTCCTAGAGGAGATCAACCCTGACTGCTCTTTAGAAGGCCAGATCCTGAAGAGGAAACTCAAATACTTTGGCCACCTAATGAGAAGGAAGGGCTCCCTGGAGAAGAGCCTAATGCTGGGAACGATGGAGGGCAAAAGAAGAAGGGGACGGCAGAGAACGAGGTGGCTGGATGGAGTCACTGAAGCAGTTGGCGTGAGCTTAAAT